AGTATGATCTCGTCGCAGCGAACAACTCCATCATACATACTTATGGACCTGTGCTTTTACACTTAAATTTGGGACTCAGGCGAGATTTTACTTGGAACTTCACAATAGCAGACGTGTCTAAACCTATAATTGGGGTTGATTTTTTGAGCCACTTTAATTTGCTTGTGGATTGCAGGAACCAGCGCTTAGTGGATGGTGTCACGACCCTCTCAGTAGCAGCGACCACTATCCATTGCCCTGACGACATCGCTTCTGTCAAGGTCGTTTCTGGCAAGTCTGAGTTCTACGACATATTGCGTGAGTACCCTGAAATCACGAGACCCGCAGGTGTTCATTGTCCACCTAGGCACAATACGCTGCATTTCATTAGAACGACGCCAGGTCCACCCGTTTCCTGCAAGCCTCGACGACTTGATCCAGTTCGCACTTTGGCCGCGAAGAAGGAATTCGAGGACATGCTAGCTTGTGGTACAGCGAGACGCTCAGAGAGTCCTTGGTCTTCTGCTCTGCATCTGGTGAAGAAGAAGGACGACGGATGGCGACCGTGCGGTGACTACCGTGCACTCAACGCCAGGACGATTCCAGATCGGTATCCCATCCGTCATATTCACGATTTCTCTTACCAGCTCTCTGGGTGTTCTATCTTCTCCACCATCGATCTCGTGAAGGCGTATAACCAAATCGCCGTAAATCCTGCGGATATACCCAAGACGGCCATCACTACACCTTTCGGTATGTACGAATTTCCGTACATGACTTTTGGTTTGAGGAATGCTGCACAGACCTTCCAGCGATTCGTCGACGAAGTCCTTCTGGGGCTTGATTTCTGCTATGGGTATTTGGACGACATTTTGGTATTTTCCCCCACTCCAGCTCAACATAAGGTTCACCTACGGCAGCTTTTTGAACGTCTGAAGCAGTATGGCATCTTGGTCAACACATCAAAATGCAAACTGGGACTGCACGAGGTTACATTTCTTAGCTATCAAGTTTCGGCAGCTGGTACGAAACCTTTGGAGACAAAGGTTGAGGCTATCCAGAGCTTTTCACCGCCGAGAACAGTCAAGGAACTTCAACGATTCCTAGGTATGTTGAATTTTTACCGTCGCTTCATACCTAACGCCGCTCAGATTCAGGCGCCGCTAACAGACATCCTCGCCGGCCCTCGCATCAAAGGTTCGCATCCGGTTGAGATGACATCGGATAGGCTGAAATCCTTCAACGAGTGTAAGGAATCCCTCTCTCGAGCTACTCTGCTGTCACATCCAGACCCATCTGCCAAACTTGCCATAGTCACGGATGCCTCGGATATGGCTATAGGAGCCGTGCTACAGCAACGTATTGACAAAGACTGGCAACCATTGGCTTTCTTCTCTCGGAAACTGAGTGCTTCACAAAAGAAGTATAGCCCATATGACCGAGAGTTACTAGCGGTATACGAAGCCATCAAATACTTTCGCCATATGGTTGAAGCGAGAACTTTCGTGGTGTTTACGGACCATAAACCCCTTACTTTTGCCTTCTCACTCAACAGAGATAAATGTTCGCCTAGACAGTTTCGGTACCTCGACTTCATTTCTCAGTTCACCACTGACATACGGTACCTACCTGGGCGAGAAAATGTCGTCGCTGATGCCTTGTCGCGAGTGGAGGAGGTTACGACATTGGGTACGACCATCGACTACCAGTCTCTTGCACGGACTCAGGAGGAAGACCCGGAGCTGCAGGAGCTGATCGAACGTGGTTCATCATTAAAGCTGTCAAAAGTAGCCACTGTATCCAGCGTAATACCAGTATATTGCGACATTTCCGGTCCTACGCCACGTCCGTACATCACACCCGAGTTCCGCAAACAAGTCTTTGATATGCTGCACAACTTACATCACCCAGGAAGTTCAGCTACTGTACGACTGGTAACACAAAGATTTGTTTGGCCAGGGATTCGTAAAGATTGTAGAGAGTGGGCTAGGCAATGCTTGCAGTGCCAGAAATGCAAGGTTTCCCGCCATACATTCTCTCCCCTTTCCCCTTTCCTTCCACCTTCCTCGAGGTTCTCCCATATACACCTCGACATCATAGGGCCTTTACCTCTGTCTTATGATTACAGGTACTGTCTCACAGTCATCGACAGGTTCACGCGATGGCCTGAGGCATATCCACTTAAGGACATCACTGCGGAGACCTGTGCTGCTGCCCTCGTGTCTGGCTGGATCGCCAGATTCGGCTGTCCTGAGCGGGTGACTACAGACCGTGGTCGTCAGTTCGAATGCCACCTCTTCGAAGCCCTCACCGCACTGGTTGGTGCGCGCCACCTGCGCACGACTGCCTATCACCCAGCAGCCAATGGCATCGTCGAGCGACTACACCGCCAACTCAAGGCGGCTATAATGTGCCATGCTTCTTCTTCTCAGTGGACTGAAGCTCTTCCACTGGTGCTTTTGGGCATGCGCGGCGCTTGGAAAGATGACCTCCAATCATCCCCTGCTGAGTTGGTCTACGGCGAGCCACTTCGCTTGCCTGGCCAATTCCTGTCTCCGAAGGACGACTACCTGACTGCTGATGTCACCCAGTACGCGACACGACTTCGCGCGTACATGGCGAAGCTCTCACCACGTCCAACTTCTTGGCATTCCACGGCTTCATTCTACGTGCCACGCGATCTTCACACTGCCACCCATGTCTTTCTCCGCCAAGATCGTGTTAGAGGAGCACTGGAGCCACCTTACACTGGACCATTCAAGGTCGTGAGCAGGCAGCCTAAATATTTCTCCATCGAATACAAAGGGAAGAACGTCAATGTATCGATTGACAGGCTCAAACCGGCATACATCACACGAGAAGCCCAAATTCCGGAGAAAACACACGAAGAAGCCAAACGGACGTCCAGTGGGAGAAGAGTTCGACTTCCAGATTTTTATCGACCGTAGTCACGGTCTGCCGGGGGAGTACTGTGGCGAGCTACCCGCTCCAATTTTATACTTGGGCAACCGCCCTACATTTCGACGAAGAAACGCTCCGCTTATGCGCTTTGGGCCAGCGGCGATGACTGACGTCACGCATTACGTAGCTCGCCGGGCGTATGCGCATCCTTGTCGCACGCGCTCGCTTCGTGATGATGCGTGCCTGCTCGCGTCGTCGCGCCGTCGGCCGAACAAGAATGACTCTGCATATAGCTTTGCTTGCTTACGACCGTCACATTTCTATTAATTTATAATCTGCTTACTTTTGCTATTTTATACAATTCTTTTCTTGTAATTTAATTCTAATCTCTGTGTAAATAATATATCCTTCATTCTTAGTGCTTGTGCTTCTTTTCCTTCTCGTGAACTGTGTTGTTTTGTGCTGTTAAATTGAACATTCTTATCGGGTTCGACTCCCGAAATTTATGTGGGATTACTTCATATAATATCCTACATGTTTCTTTTCGTGGAGACAAAGGTTCAAAACAATTGCAACTATTTTCATTGACAACATCGGAACCGCGCGTTTTGCGTCTTTTTTTGTTACATTGTTTACATACATGGACACGACTACGCTTACGAGTGCGTCCGGATGAAGAAGCGTCGGTCTCCATACCTGACTCGTTAGATATTGTAATAAAATGTCCTGTCGGGGGAACTATGTCCCCCGGGTCAGGAGGCTCGTTCATTCTAAAAGTTAAATAATTATCAAGAGTTACCTATTAAGCAGCAAATAATATATATACACACTATAAATCACTAAAATAAACAAATATAGATACTTATACTTCACTGATCTTTATAAACAATTAAATAAAAATTTTTGTTCAAAACACGCGCCCGCTTCATCAAGCGTTTCCCCGTACTAATGTCTGATCCATATGTAGGTCGACAGGCTATAAAGTGCGAGCCCTGTCAACAAATATAAATAAGTCGTAATATGTTTATAACAAAGAAAAAAAAAACTAAAAGAAAGCCTTCAAATGTATCGATATGAAATAAAAAAGTTTCAATACTTTTAGCGAATCCTTACCTAAATTTATGACCCATCTCTACTCTATATAGCTACCATGCTATTGTGATTGTGAATCTATTTTCTTCTAGACTCGAAGTTTGTTTGTTATTTATAGAAGTATTAGTACATTGTGGCACTACGCACCACTTGTAGCTCATTTTTTAAAGAAAACCAGAGCAGAGGAAAATAAAAAACGTAAAAAATACGCACTACGACTTCAATTTCTCTTCTTAATTATTATTTCAATTTACTCTAAAGACAGTTGTTACTTTCGATTTGACATATTTACTGGCCTGTGACGTCACGATCAGCGTCATTACATAGAGCAGCGTTTTTCGCGCGCTTTTGGCTATTTAAATTTTGACAATTATTTTCACCAGAAATAGATAAGATTCCAATGAAATATTATGACAATGTGTTTGTAATGTAGCAAACAACGATTTAAAATAGTTTTCAGAAAAGTGTCAAATACCCTATTGTATCATACCTATTACATCGATAAGAGAATATCGATACACTATTTATTTCTAAAGAAAATTATCGATTTCCAAAAATAGTAACTTTTTACTTTGAAAAATAAAAATATTTAAGTTTCCCTCTATTTACGTATCAAGGACTACTTTTTTCTTAAATATTTTCTTATTTTTGCCTAATTTGGCTTATATGTTAGTGCAATAAAAATATATGATAAATGTTCTGTCATTATCAAAAATGAACAATTCAACAAAAAATCCAAGACGATATTGGAATAGTATTTGTTAAATAAAATATTTTACAATTTGCATAATTTAAGAGCAAACATAGTATAATTTTTATTTTAATTCTATTGAATTATTATATTAAATGTATCTGGCTGCGCTCTATTTAGATCAATCTATGGAAAAACATTTCTTTAAATTAATTACATATGTAAGCCACTGAATCAAAGTTAAATTTTGAACATCGATGTTTCTTGAAGACCTCTAGATCTATGTAATCATATCGATGTTTTCTCCGCATAACATCGATTTTCGAACATACCTAATAGTCGCGCTGCTCCTTGCGCTTGGCTTACTTTTTGTGATGGCGTCGGTGGTCGTGTTCTGTGATGTGTGATACAAACTGTTTCTCGTCAAGTTAACATTATTTTCTAGTTTTAGATAATTAGTTAGTGATAATATGATATATGTAGTTCTTATGAAATTAGTTTTAAAGTTGTGATAATGGCAGCCAAGTCCACCGATTGGAGGCCGGGCCCAACGGTTTGTCGATGCTGCCTTTCCGAGGGATGCTACAAAGATATTTCTACTGAATATTTTTGGATGGGCAAGAGGGAAGTGTATGCAGAAATGCTTTTAGATGCATTTAATCTCACTGTGAGTAATAAGTACTTTTGTTGTATGCAATTATATCGGTATGGCATCCATATTCGTTTCGTAAAACCCGACATAGTTATGTAGACGCGCCAGTCTCTTTGTTGTCAGCGCAAACTCACTATTTTCAAATTGGTCGAATTGTAAAATCAATAGTTTACTTGACTGCACAACTCACCATCGCCAATTATTGGATTTCTTTCACAGTACTAGACTTGTTTCAAATTATTTAATAGTCGAAATAATATTCCTCATACTTTGTAACGATGTCTTGTTGGAGTTTTATTACAATTATCCTAAGAGTATGTTAATGCGTTAGCATTGATGACTAGAGACCCGCCCTGGCTTGCGTCGGCTAGTCCATTTTCATGTCTTAGAGCTTCCGATAATTTAAAACCGTAAGAATGTTTAGTTCTTCTTGCAATTGCATTCAGATAGACAGGTAGTAGCAGTGCAGGATCTGTTTGTCATCTTGTCAATCTCTTTCCATAATAACTTACAAAGCTCTTATAAGAATGCCATAATTTTAATTGGTATTTTTTGTTTTATAGATATTGAAGAGATGTATAATTTCCCAAAATACCAAAGGGTGCTCATTAATGTTTGAATTCTTTTTCCATTATTATAGGTACTAATGGAAAGTAGATTTAATTATGTAATGTAACTAAAAGGACTTCAGAAAGCCTCCTGGACTATCAACGGGCCTTCTTAGGGCTTATTAATAAACATAATAATAATGTTTGGTAGAAAATATTTTTAAACAATAATTTAAACTAAGTAATTTAGCAACCATGAGTCTATGATATGACATATTGGTATCCAACCTGTATTTTTAAGGCTATGGATATTTTATTTATTTATGTGAATTATGGTCACCTGTAACCTTTATAGCCATCACAAACAAAAAATAAACTTAAGTGAATATACTAAGGCTTTTTGAATTGCACTATTTATTGAAACAAAAATGGATTAATTATGTATTTAAATGTTTATTACTACCAAATGTTGTATACTTTTACTAAGACCATATAATGCGGGAGTGAGCACTGGAGCCTGAGATTCAGGTTTAGAATATAAACCTCATTCAGGCACAGAAGCTACTCAATTGTAACATTGAGTTTAAACCTATGTTTTAAAATTTTTTTGAAATAAATATTATTATTATTTTTTATATTTATAATCTACTCTTCCCGACCCCTTGATGATTCGAGAGGTGGAAGGATTCCCCCCGGCAGAGGAGGCACTTAAAACCTATTTAGCCATACAGAGATAACATGCAAATATTAAATTTAATAATTTTTACATTACTCGTAAAAACAATCAAATTATTATCAAAATTAATTTAATACAATTATTATACAAAATTAACAAATTTATTAAAATTACCATAATCATTATCGTTTTGAAGATTAAATGTCACAATAATAAATGTCAAGATTAGGAATTTCATATTTAATAATGTAAAAATAAAAAAGCTACAAATCATATAGCAATTAAACTTTGTGTTAACTTATATAGCGTAGGCCTATTAATTTACCTAGAATCATGGTTTAAAAAAATAGTCAATAGAATAAAATGCCATTTTATTATTTAATGTAACAAATATGCAAACCTCTAAAATATAAGGACAGGGTAGTGTCAATATTTGGAGAGCTTTAAAGTAAGGCTTGCAAGAAATATCCGGATTTAGATTGCATATAGCACAAATGCATATTTTTTTGTAATAAATTACAACATAGCAAAAAAAAAAAACAACGAAAACTGAGCTTTCTTTTAATGTGTTTTGAGTCTAAAATGCTCTTAAACGCTATGATGCACAAATTCATAAACCAAAGAGTAAAATAATTCATAAACATGATAAAAATAATATACCACAAATAAACAAGACAATGGTTGTGGATGATTATTTTATTGCAATTTAAGATTATTAAACTTTCAATTTCACATGTGATGTGGATATATACATTTGTAGTTGCAGGCTAAGCCATTATTTTGACGTCATTGTGTGGATTTGTAAGATGTCACTGCAGCTGTTACCCAGCAATTAGTAGAACTGTGTCCATGCATAAACAATGTACATTAAAAGTAAAATTCCAATTTTCTTTTTATAATTGTAAATGCATTTTCTAATTGGGGTGTATAAGGATGTGCGTTATTTCTGTTACATATTGTATACAAAAATTAATCCCTATTTCTCTTGGTCACACCATCACATGTGAATGGTGAATCATTGTGTTTGTTATTGTCAGGAGAGATCTGTATGAAAGAAAATTGTGTGGAAAATTTATTAATTTAAGACTATTTAACCGCCATATAAAATTATTTTGGTGTTTTGAATAATATATATAAACTTTTTGCCCTTATGACATTTGAAATAGAATTGATAATCAATTCTGAATTGTCAATTCTATGTCAAAGGTCAAATGCAACAAAAATTGTAGTTTTACTTTTATGTATGGACATAGTTACACTTGCTGGGTAATATTAATTTATTATACCATATAGTGGTCCCTTGCGTGATATTGGCAGGATTGTGGTTAACACAAAAAAGCCATTAAGATAGAAGAAGAAGAACAGTGTGGACATCTTACAAATCCACACAATGACATCAAAAAGTAGTTTCAAGATACAAAGTGTTTTTTTTAAATTTAGACCTTAATTATCTTTCTTACTCAATATGAGTATCGGCCAGCATAGTCTTGCGATCACATATCACACGGTGAACACAGTATCACCACATGTTCTGCAGTTTGTTGGTTCAGCTAATTCATAATAATTTTATGCAAATGAATAGTAACTAATAAAGATATTCAAATCTATTATCTCTCAATACATTAATATATTTGCCAACAGATATCTTACTCACAATCTGGTGGTCCGAACAGCAACAGTCGGCTCATTTGCGAACCATGCATCTCGAGGCTACGGGACGCGTCCGACTTCAAGAGGCAAGTGCAAGAGTGCGAGAAGACATTCATGCAGTACCTCGACCCTGGAATATCGTCCCTTACCGAAGTCGAAGGTAAATTACCTCGCTAATAATGGGAAAAAAGTGTCTCCACTGTGCCCTGCTTTTCACAAGACTGTTTCCGACGAAAAATTCTCTAATATCTAAATTCTTAAAGCTTTTAAACATAGCAATACATTAAATATTCACTTTGACACGCTCAGCTGTATATCTGGTGTTATGGAGCAGCACGCGTAGCATGACGAACTCGAGAGCGTTTTGCCTACACTCAAATGTCACTTTTCTCGGGTGCGCCCATACGATATCTCACTCTTGACCCGAGAAACTGACAACTGAGTGTAGAGAAAACGTTTTTCGGGTTTGTCATGCTACTCGTGCTGGCCAATTCTGTAAACATAATAATCACATCTCGATCGAATCTCGATTATATACTTGCATTCTGTGATTGTACTATCTACATGAAATTGGTGTTTTTCCTCAATGGTGCCTGATAATAAATAATATTCGACTTAAGTTGATTACAATGGCAAAATGTAAGTCGTTTAGATTCTATTGAGATGCGCTTATAGTCTATAGGTGGTCTGTCAACTTGATAGTTTTGCAGTTTGTATGAACCATAGGTTATTTGACTAATGTTGAAAAATAGTTTTACATTGATAATTTCTGGGAAACTGTATTTATCAATCAAAATCAAAGTTCTAGTTTAAATTTCCGAAACAGCGCGATAAACGCTGCGTCTGTAATACGCCGCCATTACGACGCGTATGACGTCACACGCTAGTAAATAAAAAAAAATCATACTAAAATCGTCAACGGGAAACCATATTTACTAGCGTGTGACGTCATTGGAGTTTCAAGTATTTACTATAAATGTCAAAAAATATTTCATTTTATTTTTTCTAATCTGCAAAAAATATTCATTATTTAGTTTAGAATAATGTGTTATTACGCTATTATTTTATAGGACGGTCGCCAATCTAGCGGCGTATGTGTTACAGTTTATCTCATTTTAAACCGTTTTCGACTTTTACATCAGTTAATAAACTAATAATCAAATACAAATATTTCATACTCAGGAACTCATAATATATTAGACATGTAAATTTATGTCAATGTATGTGTCGAGAACGAGGCCTTACGTAAAAATAGTAGAATTGACCTGGAGCATTGTCCACAATTATTATGCTGCTTTCCAATAGTTGACTAAATCAATATGTATCTAATCTTAAGAATGTTATATTGCTCTTGTTTTTTTTTTTCTCAATTTCTCTTCATTAGTCTCTTCACTTTTAACTGTTTGATGCATTTAACCCGATAAAAATAAATCAATGAGGAAGTATTAATAAAAAAGAGAAAGCCCTTAAATGCACCTCACTAGATAGCGACTCTCAAAAGTTGATTTTTGCAAATAACGAATGGACCGAAGACAGTAATTTCCGTTCCTTTTAACTAACATATTAAAAAACTGAAATATTCAAAGTTCGAAACTTATATACAACGTGTCCCAAAATTCAACGATAAGCGGGCGCCAAGAGGTACCCTTGCTCATGGGTACTTATGGAAAAATAAGAAAAAAATTATATCTTATCTTTTTTATTATAAAATTAAATTCGAAAATCTTCGAAAATTTACACCTTTTATGATATTTTCAACTACCACGACCACAACTTCTCAATTATGTTCAATCTTTTTTTGGTATCGGATACCTAAGTAGCACTACTATTCGCTACAACTCTTTCAAAAATTTTCGAATTTTATTTTATAAAAAAAAGATTAATAAGATATAATTTTTTTCTTATTTTTCCATAAGTACACATGAGCAGGTCTACCTCTTGGCGCCTGCTTATCGTTGAATTTTTGGACACGTTGTATATCAATAGAAATACGAAAAAGTACAAATAGAATATGAGTTGTTTATTGAGTTTTGAAAATTAATTTACTTTTATACATGAAAGAAAACCGGAAGGGTAGGGTTGTCATGGAGAAATCAAGAAAGTACCGTAGCGACATCTAGTTTGATTTCAGGAACTATTTTTTCTTTAAATACTTCCTTATTGTTTTAATCTTGTACTCAAATAAATATAATCCAACTCAACTCATTTACACTCCATTGTTGAAGTATGGCTCTTTATCGTTGACTCATCGTAAAATTCGACCGTTCATAGTGAGCCCAAGTGTAATTAATTAATCAGAATGCACTGGCGGTTCCGGGCGCATGAATGTTGAGGTCTGCGTGTTATAAGTAGATGTTGTTGATTTCATACTCACAAACACATTAAACCACTCACTCACACGTACAATGGTACTCTATTGCGGTCTTGTCTCTATATTATTAATTTTTGAAAAAGGCCGCTAAGAAATTCGAGTGGTGGAAGCCAGGAGTTCCATAGCCCGTCCTATATTTGTACTCGTATTGTCTACATTGTTTGTTTTTGTATATGCTATACCTATGTTGTTTTAAATGTAGAAGAAATAAATATAATTTTATTTCCGGGCGAGGCAGGTGAATCAAAATTGTTTACAAACCATACACGCAATACACACCTAACACCTAATTGATGGCAAATCACTGAACGATACGGGCGGTGTGAGCCAATACAAACACTAGCACTCCCACACGGTATTTTATCACGTGATGTCTTTTTCAGCATTTTTTAACCTCCTTGGTGATACATGGTGAGGTTTAAGATTAACCTCCCAGTCACCCACCCAAACGTGTATTTTAGTACTTACAAAAATCTTAATTTTTGGCATGTAAAGTAATCGCGCATTTGAGGTACTGACGATAATTCGTGATTTTAACCCCCCCTTGATAATAATTCGTGATTTTAGCCCAAAGCTTCACGTGATTAATGTACAAAATCTGTCACAGGTATAATTCACTTTTGATTTGTCCACAGTCCCAGTGGAACAGTTGGAGTCCCAAGTGAAATTGGAGCAAGTCAAGGTGGAGAAACTGGGTAGCGACGACGGCGACTTCGACGACAGGGCGGACTTTGACGACGACGATGACGATCGTAAGTTTTAGTTTATTTACTAACAGCTCCGCCCGTGTGGTCCCTATGGAACTGTTTAGTGGGCAGGGCTTGTAACCGGTTCAGAATAAACCGTTTTTATTTAGGTAAAACCTGTTCTCCTATAATGGTTCCATTCCGGATCGGCACTGAATGCGGAGTGAAATTCGGATGGAATAAATTAAATTAATTCGCTTGGTTCGTATAAAGCAATGTTCTTACGCTTTTAATGCGAATTATATAATTTTTAAGCGACGATATTTATCATACCTGTGTACGGATGTTATAGATAGGAGTAAAGGCACTTAAAAACCGCGCTGAAGTTTGTGAGATCATTGTTTGGAGTCATATTTAAACCGGTTAATGAAGAAAATCGTATTTCTAGTGAACTAGTTTAAAAACCTGTTCAAAGGAGCTGAACCTTTTATGTAAATTTGTGCATGTACTTACGTCGAACCGGTTCAAAAAATTACCGGTTTCCAAGCCCTGTTAGTGGGATAAAAAATTGTCCATATGTTAATCTAGGCTTAGAATTGAATTTAATATTTCATTCGGATAAAGTGTCATATCATGACATGGATATCATTACAATTTATTTTTTTATTAATTGTGAATAATAAACAATCGCATATGATGTAGTTTCCCATAGATTAAAGAATTTTTAAAATAGGTTCAGAGCCTAATTGATTCAAACAAACAACAAAATCTTGCCTCTTCATAATATTACTAACTGTTGTACCGCAACTTCGCGCGCGTAAATTATAGCCAGTGTCAACTCCATATGATGCAGCTTCCCGTAGATGAAAGAATTTTTTAATTGGTCCATTCGTTTTGGAGCCTATTTGATGCAAACAAACAAAATATCAAATTTTTTCTTCTTTATAATATTAGTGATATAGTACAGATAAATTGTTTGGTTGAATGAATGTATTTAAATCGTGTAATGGTACGTGAAGTTGACAGTATTGTGGTGACGCAGTGTCATTAAAGTTAAGAAGAAGAAGAATAAAGATTATATTGTTGTTATTAAATTTTATATAATTATGATGATATTGTTTTAATGTTTTGATATTTGTTAAAGTAAAAAATAATAATTAGACATTATCTAATGTTTCTTGATGAAAATTATAATTCACTTAAATTTGACTTTGTTAATTTTGGTATAAAATGCATGTTAGTGTAATGTTTTTTATCTGTAATGCACCTCTTATAAATTATTATTAACAGACTGAACGGATTGACCTATGAAGAAGTAGAAAACTTGCTGGTGCGACACTACATACGTACATGCATGTTCACACACACACACACACACACACTCACGCACACACGCACACACACACACACACACACACACACACACACGCGCGCGCGCCCACACACACGCGCCCACACACACACGCGCCCACACAAACACACACACACGCGCCCACACAAACACACACACACGCGCCCACACAAACACACACACACACACACACACACACACACACACACACACACACACACACACACACACACACATATATATATACTATACAACTTCATGTAACAAAATGTTATTACATCATCTTCACCAGCCTATTAACATTTCCATTGCTCCAGTACAGGTCTTCCCTTGGAATTCAATAAGAAAAATGGGCTATGAACCACCACACGAGCCCATTGGGATTTGTTGGGTGTAACAACTGATTGATGTATCTGGGACTAACGACTTAACGTCTTATGCCCGGTTTCTGAGGTACTTTTAACGGCAGTTTATCGATTCGATAGCGCTATTGACTCAATAACTCTTAGAATTGCGTTTCTGAACATCGCCGCGTCAGTTAAACTCCGTTTAAACTAAGGTTAACTTAACTGACCATTTTGTGCCGTTTATCGGTTCCATAACTTTATTTGACGTTTTGGACGTGGTCACATCATGCAATTTTTAGGTTGTTATTATTACGTGGTGAATTTTAACATTGCGTTATAGCTAAATTAAACTCGAAAAAACAATGAATAGTGGTATAAATAATACAAGCAGTTCGACAGAGTCGGATTGTAATGGAGTAATGGAGTTTTTTTCTAGTATATCTATACTAAGTCCGGGAAACTAAAAAGCAATTTGACTCGAGTTCTTATTTTTAGTTCATCCTTTGTCTATTACTTTAGTTTAAAAACACAAACAAACAGAACCAGTATATAATTTAGCCAACTTTAATATGATCTTGTTATTTTTTATCTAAGGTATTATAAAAGGAAGATTTATGAAAATTATTCCCCGTAAACAAGTTTTATGGCAAGCTACTCAGTATTCTCCCAAACCTAGCAATGGGAGAGTAGTTCGGTGGCGTAGTAGATAAGCGCCGCTGCCCGCGATTATTGTTGTTAAGCAACTTTCGCGAAGGTCGATCATGGGATGGGTGAGAAATATTATCATCTCGACCTGATGCCTGCCTCTTTTTTGTAAGAATGTACATTTTCATGTATCTTATTTTTTTAAGGATGTACATTTTCGTCCTTCGGCATTACAAAGAGACACTGACAAATAACTTATTTTCATATTTTTACACTAAAATAGTATTTGATAACTCATATAACTTAAAAAAAAACTATTATCGCAAATTAAACATGTACTAAGTGCAAAATAAAATAAAAGAAGTCAAATTTAGGTCACTTCCTTGAAGAGTTCCATCTAGTGGTAAATTTAGGAACTACTTATTGGTTACATAGTTCTGGACCTGAAAAGCATTAGGTCGGATGTCGGGAATCTTAGGCATAACTGTATAAAAACAGAAATAGCTAAATGCAATCAAAATATTTGAAAAAGTCGTCTGATCCGACTTTATGCATGACTGTTGCTCATGAGTAAAAAGGCACAAACATACAAGAGTTAATTTGCCGGAAAGAGAAAAAAGAGTGTAGCAACGTTATGGCGATAAGTGATTTTAGCTGGTTCTGCACATCCGACCTAATGCTTTTCAGGTCCAGAGTTATTGAGTAGTCTGTTGCGTGTTCAGAAACGCAGTGACAGTTAAACGAAGTTTATCTTCTCCATAACTTTAATGGAGCGATAACTATTGAGAACTTAACTGAAGCCCTCAGAAACCGGGCATTAGTGGCGCATGGAGGGGGTCCAGAGAATCCATTTTTGATCACCCGTCTTATGACCGGAAAAACGGGAAAAGCTTTACTTCCGCATTGTAGACCGACCGTGTTAACAACAGCGACTTCGACTTCTTCAGCATAACACTAAAATATTGTTGAAGAATATTACATACTGTTTTAGAATGTTACCATCATGTAGATAGCCTTAAGTGAGATCAGCAAATTCGAAAATTCATAGTTTGATTTCGCTAGTAGCGGTTCTGAGTAATAAGTTCAAGAAACGAGTACTAAATTAAGTTATTAATTTAGTTAATCCATATCATCAGTCATAGCAGGTTTCCTATATTTATATTTAAAAAAAAGTATTATTAATTTACAATACTTATGTTCAGCTCGTCATGGTTTTCTTTTTTATTTTTTATAAATACTGTATTTGGTTGTATCTCTACGCACGTACATAAACTCACTGTATATGTAGAAGCATTACACACATATGTATACCGCCGCGCGCACACATATTTGAATTTAGTATAAACATTGTTCTTATAATGTTTTACAGATTATATGGTTAGCACATTAAAACTATGCTTTCTTTATTTGACACAAATTTTCTTTTCACAGTTGATGATCAACCTCTAACAAAGTTAGCGAGCAAAGTGCCCAAGAGAGAATCAGTAGACCTACTAGATCTGCTAGATAATGCTAAAGCTGCCGTTAAGAGGAAATCCACAGACAAAGCTAAAGCTGGACCGGCGAAAAAGAGCAAGACCACAAGCAAGAAGGAGGCGAAACCAACGAGCAGTAAAACTGTCAAAATAGAGAAGAAGAAAAAAGGTAGGCATCGCATTGTTTTCAAATAAATCGGTTTAAGGCAGTTGCTATGGTTAAGATAAAAAAAGTCTGTTTAAAAAAAAAACTGAATTGAATACTAGATTCTGACAAAATCAAAATTAATAAAATGACCTTATAATTGACAGGGTTGAGTTATTTAATTAAAAGTTTCTATAGCTTGCAGTTTATATTGTAATAAATCAAGTGAGCTTTGAGTAATTATTGAGGTACCATTGCTACCTTCCTGTTCTGTTTGCAGAGCCTTAATTGATGTAGCATAATGAAGTCCTGAATCATTCAAATCATTCACCCTGACAGACCAACTAGCATCAGACCTGTCAGGGTTGATCTAGTATTAGACACTAATCTTGATTGGTCTTTTGACAGATCAAGGTTAGGTTTGGCTCTGATTTTCCGCACTTTAACCCTAATCGGTCCATCTGTCTATCACCACGCCGCTTCCCTTGCGGTATAGGCAGAGAGAAATGAACGTTACAAAGTATGGTTCTTACATACATCTTTCGCCTCACTTACTTTCATTACTTTTTTCATACATACTCGTGCGTGAAAAGTTTGCTGACTCACTCCAGCCAACCCAACTTTGCCCAGAGCGCAGAAGCTTTTTAGAGTCTTCGCAGGCTTCGTTTTTCGTTACGTGTCTTTGCAGCTTTGTTTCCCATAAAGTGAATCAAATGTAGCTTGTAAGATAGTTGACCTTATATGTTAAATTAAGTTGGAAAGTGATTCTTTGCAAGTTAAGAACTTGTAATATACAATAGAAATTAAGGAAAGACGTATCTTTCCATAGCAACTGATTACCGATTTTAATTTGTTAGATCTTCTGTTGGAATAAACTATTTACTATAAATCAGGAAAATAAGCTGCATACCTTTGGATCCATTTGTTTTATTAAAATACAAAAACAGATGTTAATTGATTTTTTATTTATTTATAATATTACCAGCAGAAAATCTTATCAAATACACTGAGATATTTTGAGAGTGTTATGCATGCAATTTAATTTATACAACATATGGAAATGTCTCGTTACTAGATGAAATAATACTTTTAACAACATGTGACATGATAGACGCGATTAAGTTTCTCTTTTATACGCCAACGACCGATCCGTCCATATTTTTTGATAAATGGCCTATTTGCGTTTACACAATTCCGCCAATGTCATCTTAGTGGCTTTTACATGTTAAGAGAATGTATAATGTTCAATTTTGAGATGATATAACGTTTTTTTTTGTAACTTGAAGCATGTTTATCTACTAAGATTGTTAAAGGGTATGGTCACAATTGTATTCTTCCACTGTTCGCCGTCAGCCATCATCTTATCGTTTATAATTGCCAAAGAAATGTCACTGTTATTAAAAGTAGGCAGAGCTGTTTTTATTATGTTAAAATTATAGCCCTTTGTCCATTGCCAGATAGTATTTACCAATATTATTATCCATTTTCAATAACAACAATGGAATTATCTATCACACAAGTTTTTTGTATATTAACTTTTTTGTTCTAACGTGTTATTCTGCAATGTAACATGACAGGACATGTTGTCTTGCCATGTAACATGACTTTACGTTTATTATGACATGAGTGGTGTTGGACATTGGGATTTATTTGTACAGGTACCAGCGTGTGAAAAATATTTATACACTTTTGATGGTTAGTGATACGAAAACAATTAGGAGTAGAGAATGTCAGATTATAAACATAAATGAATTGATTATAGGAAATCTATATAATCCTTCATTGACAATATTAAACAAGGTTTTTTATTTTTAAAGAGCATAAAGTAAAAAGAACATTCATGTTATGAATTAGTTTTAATTTGACTCCGTAATGGAACAGTTTTAAAGATTAATTAATTTTTGAAATGATTAGTTGATATTTCCTTGTCTATTGTAAAGTTGGAAATTAAAGACCATAGTATTGATACAAATATCTACTCAAGAACTCTGAGCAAAATTTACATAAAAGCAGTTATTCTGAGATATATTCTTACATGTGATTTCTAACAATCAGACACATAAACTCCTAGCATTATTTTTAATTTTACATTGTTATACTTAGAGAAAGTAAGCATCATTACAAAATTTATAAATATAAAAACATTTTACTTAACGTCTGTGTTATTAAAAATTTTGAAACAGCGAAAGTACTTATATTCCATCAGTTAAACTAAGTTTGGGTTTGAAACCCTGTTACAAATATTAACCACGTTTCATTGTATCTTACCGTGGAAAAACAGAGAGACAGATAGACTTTTGGGTTTGATTCCCTGATATCTGTTGTTCTCCAGTCTTCAATGGTGAGTGTTAGATATGTAATTTGATAAGAAAGCTCTGCTTACACCGGTCGTGTGGATGTAATCCTTATATTATTATCCTTTATCAGATCTATAGCCACACGAACGAGTTAGTTGTAAGGTGTTTATATCATATAAGAGACATATCCATATGTACGGGTATTTGAATCCCGAAACGTATCAGTATTAATTGAACTGATCATTTGATATTGAAGTCAGCGTGCCATGTAACGTTCTTACGTATTTGTTTATTAAAGATAGTTCTGGCTTTTCCCATTGTTAGATCTCCTTTACCCTTGGGCTAGATTGAAATCAAGAGTTAAGCCCGTCTTTAATAAAGTGAATTATTTTGATTCGTTCAGTTGATCTGATGTCGTATGAGAACATAACGAAATATGGTTTTGATAAATGTGTTATTGCTTGGTATTGTTTTCTATGCAGTTAACTTCCAATTTAAACCGTATTTCGCTATTTTTCCATATTAGATGTAAGAATTAGTTAACCAAACATTTACTGGTTCTTTTACCACACTATCGAAAATTTTATCTAACACGGGCTCTACGCCTCCAAACCACTTGACTTACCCATTTCAATCGAACTTGAATTATCGCAAAGACAGCGCTAAGGGATTCCGATATCGCGAAGACGTCTCGTTTAGAAATAGCCATCGGAGCGAGAACCGACTACATAGCGAAAATTTTTCTCTTTTTTAGCGGATCGCTTCGACCCTGTGCGGGCGAACGCTGAGCTGATAGTCCGGTACACCACAGCGTATCCGTTCCGAGTCAATGATAAGTCGATATTATGCGTCTACTGCCACGAACTTTACGATGACCCCGAAGTGTTCAGAAACCACATGGACGAGGAACACACGGCGTTCAATATAAAAGTAGCATTCCACAATTTGCCAAAGCCGGAATTCATTAAGGTGGACTTGACTAATCTCAAATGCAGGATCTGCGTGGAGAAATTTGACGATCTCGACGCCATAGCGAATCATCTCTCGAATCACAACCAGAAGATTAATTTCAAACACAAAATAGGGGTTATGCCTTATTATTTGCAAAAGGACAGTTTCAACTGTGCCGTTTGCGGGAAGAACTTCCCGTCTTTGTTCCACCTCAATAGGCATACCATAACGCATTTCCTGAGTTATGTCTGTCATGTGTGCGGCTCTAGTTATATAGCGACTACCGGTTTGCTCAGACACGTTAGATCTAAACATCAAGATTACGAAGTTACATGTAAGAAGTGTGGGAAAGTTTTCCCCACGATGGAGGCTAAGGAGAAACACCGTAGACAGGAGAAGTCGTGCATGCCTTACTGCTGTCCGAAATGTAACGAGAGATTCTTGGATTGGAAGTCGAGGAAACGCCACATGGAAACTGAACACGGGCAGTCGAAAAAGACTTATCGGTGTGCCGATTGCGACATCAGCTTCAATAACGAGAACTCGTATTATGATCATTTTAAATTGCAGCACTCTGATGACTGCGCCATGTGCAAATACTGTGGCCTCAAATTCTTGTCCAAGTACCGTTTGAAACGTCATATGTCGAAACACGGTGTGTCGGTCGGTCTGTGCGACTACATACCCCCATAAAAAGTCTGTGTTAAAAACTAAATCAATGATGAATATTTTGTGCATATGTACTGGAATAGTGGTGTTGACATGTCACAAACAGTCTCAAAGTAACGTAGGTTGTATCTTTTGAATATATTATTCTTGATATAGTACTGAGGCCGACTGATGCGGTAATATTATCTTAAGGGCATTGTGAACGGTTTTTAATGACGATGCAATCATCTGATATTCTTAACATTAGGAAGTCTTTTTTGACGCTCCGCCGAGTAATTGACAATCTTTTGATTAATCCAATAACAATCTTATAACTCTTAACTCTCATAGATAAGGCTGACAATTTCTATCAGTATGAATTATATAAGATAAAATTTTCATTAAATAATAAGCTGGATATTTCAAACTGTGGTAGTTCGCTATAAATTCACAAAACCGATTATAAATAAAGGTACTCTTGGCTTTTCTTGAACTACATAGTAATCATCTCTATATTAGATTTGTTCTACTTGTCAACTATACTTGACGTAAAAGATTATGAATGTCTGATGGTATGGTAGGTATTTTTAATATGATCAATAGTGCATAATTTTTGAAGGTTTATAGCTTACTGAATCGTATTTAAGAGCGCTTTTTAGCATAATATTTTGGTGTCGTATTTGTATGTTTAGGAATTGTAATAATAATTATTCGTAATAAATACATGATCTCATTATAACTATTATTGGAATTAATATAAAAAGACTGTTTTTGTCGATGAGTGTTAGAATTATTAAACTATTGAATTTCCCATGGAAAATGATGATTGAAGAGAGTTTTGTGAAAAGCTTCCGATGACATGACGCATGACGCTTGGCCAATAGGACTACAACATGATTTTTTTCCTTTTCTAGACGGTACACCGTACTACCTCGTGAGAAGAAACGCAGAGCTTATTATTAAGCATACAACGGCTTATCCGTTTCGCGTGAATCTCAAGTCATTCCGATGCGTTTACTGTGGCGACTTGATAGATGACCCCGAAGAATTTAGGGCGCACATGTCCCGGGAACACCAAACATTCACACTCAACATGGCCTTCGTCAAATTACCCAAAACGGAATCTGTCAAAGCCGACATAGCTGATCTAAAATGTCGTATATGTAACTACCACTTCTCTAGTCTCCTAGAAATAGCGAAACACTTAAAAGAGACGCATAATAAATCCGTTAACCCCGATGCTGACTTGGGAGTCATGCCGTATATGTTAGAAAAGGATAGATGGAAATGCGCTGTATGCGAAAAGAGTCTGCCTTCACTTTTGCACTTAAACAAGCATACCATCACGCATTTTCAAAGTCACATATGCGAAATATGTGGAAAGAGCTACAAAGCTTCTACGGGGCTAGTGCAACATATAAGAGCTAAACACGACGAAACCAATAAAGCGTTTTGCAGACGCTGCCAAACTGTGTTCCCTTCGATGGAAGCAAAAGCTGTGCACCAAAGGACGGAGAAGCGTTGCATGATCCATTGCTGTTTAGAATGCCCTGAGAGATTTCCAAGTTGGGAGACTAAACAGAAACATATGGTGGAGACGCACGGTATGGAGAAAAAGACGTATCGTTGCACAAATTGCGATTGGGTGTGCGAGGATCGTAGGGCGTTTTATGATCATTTCAAGTTGCGACATTCGCAGGATTGCCTTTTGTGTATTCACTGTGGTCTTAAGTTTGCCACCCCTTCGAGATTGAATAGACATTTGGAAAAACATGTGTCCTAAAAAAAAGAGGTGCGGTGCTGCGTATTTTAGACTATTCGAAGAACTTACTGGGTATACAGTAATCACGGCGGTAGCTGAGGCTAGACTACTTAAGAATTTACTCGTTCTTTCTCGAGGAATGTTGAAATTTTAAGAATTTGATCGGCCTCCTCGAATTCAATGCCAGGTATATTATAAAGCCAGAGCGGTGGCAATTGATCTAGTTGGGTTTAGTCATGCCTTTGTCAAAAAGTTGCTGTTCTTTGTTTCGAAGTTTATACTGCAGCATTTAAAATATATGAGGCTACATAGTAAGAAACCTGGAATTATCGTGCGCCATATATATATTGCATATAGAAACCTATGTCTAGTGAATTCTGACATTATATTTAAATAACTGTAGCCAAAATAATTTGCTCCGCTGTCGCCGTGTGATTTTGAGTCTTACCATTTCTCATACGTTTTTCTGTTGTTTGCCAAGCAGTGGAACTAGATCTGTAAATAAATTGTGGTTTTTCTACTTATTAAAAAAAATTTTTTAATCTCAAACATGTTTATTTTTACTGAAACCTGTATACCATAAAATCAACTTTAATTGAATAAAATTATCAAAACATACGTGCATTTTCTTTCATTATATTTTTTCTGCAATATTTTAAAAATATTACAAAAATATAGTTATTTATTTCACCCTTGTCGTTATATTTTTAAAGAATGCATAATACTATGCATTAACCAAATCATTAACGTTTATTTGGTAAATATATTCTGGTCCAAGGACCATGAAGCACGACATTAAGAGACGAATACCCCTCTTATTTGAAAACAATAAATTTTGGAAAATTTATACCGATTTTTTTTAATGTTATTGTTTTCGTTCATATAAACACGCATTTGCCGTGCTAAGGAATTTACGGCCCCTAGGGGTCCCACCGACCACAAGTTGGGAAACGCTTTGGTACACAAATCACTAGTAGTTCTAGCCCTGTGCAAATTATAGAACACAAAAAGAAAAGCAATTTACATTATGGTGAAATATACTAATAAATAACATGAGTTGTGGAAACAGCGATTGAGAAATAAAACTGCACTAGCAAGCTTGTGCTAATTTGGTCAGCACTAAAGGTAATTCGTTTGGATATATAATTACGCTAAAAATAATTGGCACTATGGTCAAACCTTAGCGGTTTTTATAGTGTCATCTAAACAATAACATGCTATATCATTGTTAGGATTGTTAAATAAATAAATAAAATAAGTTTTAAACGGTCGTTATAACACTCATCCTCTTATGGCTCCAATCACGTTAAAAAATGTTCCGTTGCCGTTGACCAACCTCTAGAACATTAACAAACGTTCTCTGAAAAATTAAACGCTCACATTGTCACGAAGACTTTCTCTTTGTTCTAGTGTACGAATCAGTGCTCGAAGCGAGACACAACGCTGAGATAGTCATGAAATATTCAACGGCGTATCCATTCAGAATCCCCGTAAAGGATATGGTTTGCGTATATTGTTGGGAGAGTTACGCTGATCCGGCAGATTATAGAGAGCACATGAGAACAGAGCATGCTACTTTTAACGTTGCAACTGCTATGGCTCATATTCCGAGCAATAACGAGTATGTTAAAACCGATTGCACAGACTTGCAATGTAGACTATGTGATCAGCCTTTCGAAACAATCGAATCGGTCGCCGAACATCTAAAATCGGTACACAATAAGAACATCAATTTAAATGCTGGTATACGAATGCAAGTTTTTAACTTCAAGACGAAATGGGTGTGTTCTATTTGTCACGAAAAACTAGCCTGTTTGAGAACTCTCAGTCGTCATACAACGGCCCATTATCATAGTCTTACGTGCGAAACCTGTGGGAAGTCTTATATGAATAAAGAAAATTTGCAACGCCACTTGAGGTTTAGTCACAGCAAAGAAAAGATCTGTCCTAAATGCAAAGAGGCATTCCCAAGCACGGAGGCGAGACGGCGACATGTCATAGAGTCTGTAAAATGTTGGACCTTCACCTGTATTTTATGCAACAAAAGATTTCACAGTAAGAAATCTAAACAGGAACATTTGATGGCGGCTCATAACAAAGCTGCCAAAAATTATCCGTGTCCAGATTGCGGGGAAGTTTTCGCCAAATGGAATTTGTATCGATCACATTTCATTATTAAGCATACGAATAATAGTTTCGATTGTCCATTTTGTAATATGAAATTTGACAATAGACGTGCCTTGGATGATCATAAAGTCACGCACACGAAAGAGAAGAAATTCGAATGCTCCGTTTGTTCAAAATCTTTCGGTCGTAGGAAGAATCTTATACAACATTCTTGGGTGCACAGCGAACATAAAAGATTCGAGTGTGTACCTTGTAATAAAAAATTCAATCAGAGAGTTAGTTGGAAAACTCATATGAAATCATATCATCCAGAATTGGTAGACTTTTGATAATTGCATCATGTGTGCGCACACTGTATTTATTGATGTGTAAATAAAGTAAAATGACGGTCTTAACATTTATTTGTAATTAGTTACGTATACTTTATACTGGCGTCACCAAAACTTGGACAACTTTCCCCAGCGCTCAGTGTGTTGAATAAATAAGAACAAAGCCATTAGTTGTCCGTAACAAGTATTAATTAACGGTCAACGGAGACAGTTGAATGACCAAAGGCATTTCTTTTTGTTCTAGAAAACGATTCTTATCTCATCGCAAGACGGAACGCCGAGATAATCGTGAATTATTCAACTGTGTACCCGTTCCGACTACCAGAGGAATCCATGGTGTGTGTGTACTGCGCGGAGAGTTACGATACCTCCACCGCTTATAGGAGACATATGGATACAGAACATCAAACCTTCACTATAAGGATGGCTTTCGCGCATTGCACCGAGGGTTACATCAAAGCTGATTGCACAGTGCTCCGTTGTCGACTCTGTTCTGAATCTATGGATACATTAGAAGAAGTAGCACATCATTTATATTCGGTTCATCGGCAACCCATACATTTGGACGTAGATCTAGGGATACAACCGTTTAAACTAGAGAAAGACAAGTTCATATGCGCTATTTGTTATTCGAAATCTTTGTGTTTAAGACAACTGAGTAGGCATACCCAATCACATTTCCTTAAATTCACGTGCGAGGCCTGCGGAAAATCTTACGCCACGATAACCACTTTAAGACATCATATCAGGTTTAGTCATATTGATGACAAACGGATTTGTAGGAAATGCAAAGCCACGTTCAATTCATTGGAAGCTAAAAGGAAGCATCTACAAGATTCACCAAAATGTTGGTCTCATCTTTGCAGTGTATGCGGAGAACGTTTTGTCACCTGGAACTTGAAACAAGCGCATATGAATCAAGTGCATGGCACTCAAAAACGGACTTACGTGTGTCCAGAGTGTAGCGTTGTCTTTGTGGACAGAAAGAAGTATCGGGCACATTTTAAAATAAATCACACTGATGACAATTATATGTGCTCTTGCTGTGGCTTAAAGTTTGAAACGAAACGTGATTTAGATGAACACAGGGTTGTTCACACTAAGGAACGTTTATTCCCTTGTACGGTATGCTCTAAATCGTTCCCTAGGAAAAAAAATCTGGTCCAGCATATGTGGATCCATAGCGAGCACAAGAGGTTTGAATGTACATTGTGTAACAAGCAATTCAACCAGAGAGTCAGTTGGAAAACCCACATGAAGTCCTATCATCCGGAGATATACATTCCTCCTTATCAATTTACTAGCGCTTACGAGGGAAAAAATAATAACCACAAACGTGCATTTTCTGTATCGAAAACAGATTAGAATAACAAAAATATCAATATTTTATTTGTTTCAGCTAGACAATAACTGAAATGTTAAGTGAAAAGCAAAATGCAGACATTGTCTTCAACTTCAACAGTGTGCGTGGCCTTTTGTGAAACTTATTAAATATTTCAGAAAGAATATAGAACATCATTAGGCTTCCCAGTGAACTATACATCCGCTAATATGTATGAAAGTCATATAAATTTCTCTTATACTTATATTGTACTAGTTTGCAAAATCTACACACTGCCGAAAATTTACTAAAGAATTTTTAACTTTAAAAACCAATAATTTCCAAACGTCTCAGAAGCATTCGTCAAACCTTACTTCATCAAAATCTTAACAATCAAATAATTATTCGGAGCTATAGTCATTGTCACTCGATTAGATTCTTAAGAGTGCTGTATATTCGGAAAATGAAGAAGCAGAAGACACGACATTGATCAAGAACATTTCTATTTGTTCTAGTGGAAAATCCGATGGCCATCGCGAGGCGCAACGCCGAGACTATAGTCAAATACACGACTGCGTATCCATTCAAGCTGCCGGAATGTAGTTTAGTCTGCGTGTACTGCCGTGAGGAGTACGAGGATCCGTCCTCTTTTAGAGAGCACATGCGATTATTACATACTGAAGTAAAAGTCCGCGTAGCCTTCTCCCATATTCCCGAAGGATATATAAAAATAGATTGTACTGAGCTCAGTTGTAGGATTTGTTCAGAATCATGCCCCTCGATAGATTCAATGGTCACTCATCTGGTTAAAGTTCATAATGAGAATATTGACTTGAGTCATGATATGGGCGTACAACCGTTCACTTTTCACAAAGACATGTGGACGTGTGCTATTTGCGATATGAAGTTTTCCACTTTGCGCACTCTAAGCAGACACACGCAATCCCACTTTCAGAAATACACATGCGAGCAATGTGGCAAATCTTACTTTACGTCCTCTTCGCTTAAGCATCATTTGTATAACTGTCAGATTGGAGATTTGCGTATATGCATAAAGTGTAAGAAAACTTTTAAGACATTGGAAGCTCGGAGGAAACACGTGAATGAGTCGCCGCGTTGTTGGCCCTTCACGTGTAAATATTGTGGTGAGCGGTTTATGACGACCACCCTGAAAAAAGAGCACAGAGCCAAGGCTCACGGCGAGCAGGCTAAAACCTACGTGTGTCCTGAATGCAGAGAAGTTTTCCCAGACAGTACGAAGTATAGGGCACATTTTGTGATAACTCACACGGACGATTATTTTTCTTGTTCTTGCGGCAAAAAGTTTGATACAAAATATAATTTAGAGAAACACAGAGTCGTACACACGAAGGAGAAGCTCTTCCCTTGTACGTCTTGTCCAAAAGCGTTTTCAAGAAAGAAGAGTTTGGTACAGCACATGTGGATACATAGCGAAGTTAAAAGATTCGAATGCGTCCAATGTAATAAGAAATTTAACCAACGTGTTACTTATAAAACTCACATGAAATCGTACCATCCCGATGTTGAAATATCTTGATTGAGACAATTTCAACTTTTTGATAACAAACTCTTCTTTATTGTGATAACAGTCGAAATTATCAATCGGATAATATCTTAATATCGGTGATATTTATTAGATTTTATCGATTTATTATTTATATAGATTTTATGCGTGACTTCGTGTGCGTGGTACTAAAATTCTGGATATTTAAATACAGAATATAGTTTCTCCGGAATAATATTCCTTTCAACTGGTTAAATAAAAAAGAATTTGTTCCAGAATATGTGGATCCATAGTAAACACAAGAGTTTTGAACGGACATTGTGCAACAAGCAATTCAACCAGAGAGTCAGTTACAAATCCCACATGAAGTTATATCGCCCGAAAATATACATTTCTCCTTATTAATCTACTAGCACTTACGAGGGGAAAAATAACCAGAAACGTGCGTTGTCTATATTGAAAACAGATCAATAAAATCATCAATTATATTTCGTTTGTTCTAGACAACTCAATGTGGAGTGAAAAACAAAATGCAGAGATTGTCATGTAATTTAACGTGTGTACTGTTGCAAAAGGGTAACTGATACGAATTATTCGGAAGAAATATTGAAGAAGATCATCGAAGCTCTACCCATTGAACTACATCCGCTCATGTGCATGAAGGATATAATGAAAGTTGCTGTAGATATCTTCGTTGTAAGATTTGGTCGGCTCGTTTGCCAAGTCAAAGTCGAACATTTGCTAAAGAACCACGCCCAATGCTCCAACAACGCTTCACAAACTGATTTCTTTTATTATAATTACATAAATTGCGTTTTTTATCTCCTAAATTTGAAAATGCAATGTTACGGAAGCATTTCTAAGTTCATCAAATTTTTACCAATAAAATTGTCAGAATTGCATCTCGTTCAATCTCATAAAATATTCGGAACTAATGTAATTATCACACGACTAGATTCTTGTGCAACATAATCGGAACACGAAGAAACACGGAAGATTCAACACTGATCAGGAACATTTCTGTTTGTTCTAGTGGTAAATCCGATGGCCATCGCGAGGCGGAACGCCGAGACTATAGTCAAATACACGACTGCGTATCCGTTCAAGCTGCCGGAATGTGCTTTGGTCTGCGTGTACTGCCGTGAGGAGTACGAGGATCCGTCCTCTTTTAGAGAGCACATGCGATATTTACATTCCGAAGTAAAAGTACGCGTAGCCTTCTCCCATATTCCCGAGGGTTATATAAAAATCGATTGTACTGATCTCAGTTGTAGGATTTGTTCAGAAACATGTCTATCCATTGAGACGATGGTCACTCATCTGGTTGAAGTTCATAATAAAAATATTGATGTGAATCATGATATGGGCGTACAACCGTTTACTTTTCATAAAGACATGTGGATGTGTGCTATTTGTGATGCGAAGCTTTCCACTTTGCGCACTCTAAGCAGACATACACAATCCCATTTTCTGAAATACACATGCGAGCAATGCGGCAAATCTTACTTTACGTCCTCTTCCCTTAAGCATCATTTGTATTACTGTCAGATTGGAGATTTGCGTATATGTGTTAAGTGTAAGAAAACTTTCAAGACTTTGGAAGCTCGGAGGATACACGTGAATGAATCACCGCGTTGTTGGCCCTTTACATGTAAGAATTGTGGCGAGCGATTTATGACGGCTACCCTGAAAAAAGAACACAGAGCCAAGGCTCACGGCGAACAGTCTAGAACCTACGTATGTCCTGAATGCAGAGAAATTTTCCCAGACAGGATGAAGTACAGGGTACATTTTGTGATAACTCACACTGAAGAGTATTTTTCTTGTTCTTGCGGTAAAAAGTTTGACACAAAAAACAATTTAGAGAAACACAGAGTCGTACACACTAAGGAGAAACTCTTCCCTTGTACGTCTTGTCCAAAAGCTTTTTCTAGAAAGAAGAATTTAGTACAGCACATGTGGATACACAGCGAAGTTAAAAGATTTGAATGCGTACAATGTAATAAGAAATTTAACCAACGTGTTACTTATAAAACTCACATGAAATCATACCATCCCGATGTTGAAATATCTTGATATAAACAAGATTAACTTATTGATAACAGATTTTTCTTCAATTATCTTTATATCAGCACTATTTATCAGATCCTGATGTAAAAGTATTTGTTTACTGCATGAATTTCCAATCCATAAGGAAGGCCCTGCAGAAGGGAAGTAAAAAGGGCTGATGATGATGATGAATTGACAACCTTTGAAGATCCCATATTTCAATGAGCTACTGATTATTTATTCATTTTTTTTTTCAAACAAAAACATAGCTTTTACCCTGAAACATATAACTAAGTAAAATAAATGATCACGGAGTAACTGGAGTCTTGCGGGTAGATTTTACTTGCAGATTTATTGATCTACCTTCTTTTGAGTATTATAACATACAATAGCCATACCACTGTCTACTAAATCATCATTCACTCACACCTGTTCTAGACACAAGATTCACTATATCTGATTGTAAAATTTCATTATTTTCTTTTCAATTCAGAATATACAAATCCCAAAATGTCCAACGGTTTCAAAATGTCTTGTATCCGAAAAGTTCAGTTTCCAAAATGTTTTAATTACAAAGATAAATAATTTTTACCAGGCTGTTACATTTTTATTAATAAACAAGGTTTGACTGCACTTAGTATTAGTCAAAATTCATATTATTTAACAGAGACTTAGCAAAGGTTAACCTAGTACGAGTTTCTACGGGAGCAATATTTACTCCTAAAATGTAGTAGGTATGCGTATTCTCTGTATAATAGGAATTTGAACTATTACTAAAATTGTAATACTAGCATAAATTTACTCTGACGCCAAACCTTGTTTTATTAATAGCACTGTATATGTTATTATTTTAAAGAAAAGCTATTAGGGCTTGTCGAACTAGCTTGCTACATATTATTCATCAGTTTATTCAATAAACCAATGATGATAATATTGGACATTTTAGGAATAGGACATCTAGAACTTGAGAAAGACTGTGGCTCTCGTCAATAGTCAGTTGTCAATTCAGCCTATCTTGATTGAAATTCTTTTGTGTCATTATTTCGCTCCCGTGACCATTCTCGGTATGTAATGGCGTTCTGTCTAGATATTGTGTGACTTGTGTGAGCTAGATCCAGGGTCCATATTATATATGGTAGAAAACTGTCATTCTAATGACCATTAAAGTTTTAAACATTATGTTATTAAATTTTCAATTCAATAATGTATACGGTCAAGGAAAAATATATTATTAAATCATTGAGACAATTCGCTTCTCTTTGGAAAATCTGGTTAACTTGAATTATAAATATGGCGCTAATTCATTAAACGATATTAAAGGTTATAAAAATAATTATAATTTGCATTATACCCAAAGAACCGCCAGCTGTCGACTCCTGTTCGAAGGGATGAATTTGTTCCGGTAATTCCTCACCCCTTCTCGCTGTACAATATAAATATAGATTGAAATAATAATTGCAAATGTACTTGTTTTTATCTTGGGTGTTCTTTTTAAATTAAATGACTGAATTTACTGTAAAAAAGTGGATATTTTTAATGATAATAATAAGATCTTTAGCACTTATTGTATCATATTAGTTAAATGTTTAATAATTGTTTATTGATAGTATGTATTGGATATTTCATTTCAATTATTTATTACAAATTATTTTATGTTGTGAAATTAATGTATTTAGAGCCACTACTGTTTATATTAGATTTAACTTTATCGATACCATGTTTTCGTGTTTATTGTTTGAAACTATGACAGAAGAACAATTATTTAGTTGAAATAAATAAATGTTTATTATTATACTGCCTTTTTATACTTCGCTATATCTTGTTTTGATAAATATAATGAAATCCTTAAAATAATCACATCTAATCTTCCATCAAGCAATATTTTACGATCAATTTTTTCTTATCTATTCATCTATCAAATCGCCACTAAAATAAACACCCTAAAGAGAATGTAAGTTTTGCATCAGTCTAGCATCAGTCTAAGAAATTATAAACACATCAGTGCCAACTAGATTTTTTCTTTTTCTAGAACCGCACAGCCGGTACGTAATGGCGAGACGAAACGCAGAAGCGGTTTTGCAATATTCTACCGCATACCCATTTCGACTCCAAGGAAAAACCTTAAAATGTGTCTACTGCTGCGAAAGTTACGAAGATCCAACATTATACAGGCAACATATGGACGATAACCATGAAATTTTCACAGTTTCCACAGCGTTTGCACACTTAACAAATAACGAATATTACTTAAAAGTTGATCTCACTGATTTTAAATGCAGATTATGCTTGGAACCGTTTGATGATATAAACTCTTCTGTTCGGCATATTTACGAATTGCACGATTGCAAGAAGCTCAATTTTGAATATGATGTGGCAATGCAGCCATATAGATTAGATAAATGGAACTGGACATGTTACATCTGCCAAACAAAAATGCCTTCTCTTGTTGCATTGGGCAGACACACTGTAGCCCATTACCAGAAATTTACATGTGACGCGTGTGGCAGAAGTTATTATACCAATGAAGCGTTGAAATACCATTTCAGATGCTCCCATTCTGGTAAGCATGTATGTAGAAAATGCTGGCAGGAGTTCCCGAATGCAGCATCTAGAAGTGAGCACTTGAAAACCTCTAAACCTTGTTGGTCTTTCTGTTGTGTCCAATGTGGTGACAGATTCATGTCATGGGAAGCTAAACAGAAACATTTGGTTGAGCTCCACGGTTGCTCCCGGCGGGTTTTTGAATGCTCCTACTGTGACTCTGTTTTCGACACCAGAAAACATTTTCGAAAACATTATAAGATAAATCATTCTGACGACAACTTTATTTGTTCGTGTTGTGGCCTCAAGTTCGCTGATAAGAATGATTTAGAGGACCACAGACTCGGACACACTGGCGAGAAATTGTTCAAGTGTTCTGTATGTTTTAAAGCATTTTCCAGACAAAAGAGTCTCAAACAACATTTATGGATCCACAGCGATAATAAAAGATTCGTTTGTACTACATGCGATAAGCAGTTCGCTCAAAAAGTTAGTTTGAAGTGTCACATGAAGTCCAACCATCCTGATGTCGAATTTTAATTATATATAACTACGTAAATAAAGTGCATGATAAAACCATACCGTGTTTTGAGATACCATTAATTTATCAAGATAGTCTTCGACATTCGTCGCCGTTTGGGTATGACACTGACCAGTTTCTTTTTTGTTTTTAGGGTCCACATTGGAAATACACGTTGGACGAAGTGAAACTGACAGTAAAACAAAAAAGAAAGTGGTTCTTGTGTTCCAGACTCCACAGCGGCGTAACGCCGAAATGATATTAAGATTTTCCACTGCTTATCCATTTAAAACAAGATTTAGTCAAATACTTTGCGCGTATTGTCACGAGGAATACGATACACTCGATCTCCTTAGATATCATATGAAGTCTGAACATCTAAATTCTGATTTTAAAAATGTTTTTTATAGAACTAAAGATAATTTGATTAAAGTTGATATTACCGAATTGAAATGCAAAATATGCTCAGTGGATATACAAGATATAGACACATTAATGAATCATTTCTCAAATGAGCACGGAAAGTCTGTTAAATTCAATGCTCGTTTTGGCGTGTTACCTTATAAGCAAAATAATGAAAGTCATTACGTTTGTGTGTATTGTCAAAGGGTATTTGCAGATTTCGTTAATTTCAAACGTCACATTAGTTCTCATTTTATGAACTTTAGCTGTGATAAATGTGGCACGACATTTGTATCTGATCACGCTTTGCGTGATCATCACCGTCAAGTAAAATGCTTTCGAACAGCGTATAAACCTCGAAACGGCCTCGTGATGAAGCCGAGAGGTAACGCTGAAATAATTCTCCAATGTTCAACAGCTTGCCCCTTTCGTACATGGAAAAATAACTTTAATTGTGTATTCTGTCGCGTACAATTCACCGATCCAAATGGATTACGAAGTCACATGGCTACACGCCACGTTAATTACGACGTACAAGCAGCGTTTTATAAAAAACTAGGCAAAGAGTTCCTAAAGATAGATATAACTAATTTGCAATGTAAACTTTGCTACTTGCCAATCAATGATTTCGAATCTTTAACGTATCATTTGAAAAATGATCACGATCAACCAATAAATACTGAACATCAGCTAGGCGTACTACCTTTCAGGTTAAACGATGGTTCCATATGGAAATGTACAATATGTCCAAATGAATTTAAAGATTTTATATCCCTGAAGAAACATACTGCTGAGCATTTCCAAAACTATGTTTGCGATACGTGCGGAGAAGGGTTTATAACTGAATCTGCAATGATAGCGCACACAAAGATACCTCATGAAAATAAATACAGTTGTAGTAGATGTATAGCAACATTTTCGTCGCTTGACGAAAGGAATGTTCATGTGAAAACACAGCACACTTCAATGCCTTATATGTGTAACTATTGTAAAGAGAAACCACGATTTGCTAACTGGGAATTGAGGAAGAAACATCTTATGGAAGTTCATAATTTTAAAACGGGGGCCGATAAATATGAATGTTCCACTTGTCAGAAGACCTTTAAAACGCGCTCCGGAAAATATAACCATATGGCGAGAACGCACAGAATGAAAAAAGACACTGAACTTAATTATCCTTGTCCGAGTTGCCCAAAAGCTTTTACGACCAAACTGTTCTTGGATAAACATATTGCTAAGAAACATTACGACTTATGAAGAACTTAAATTATATTATGATGGAGAAAATCAATAGAAAATGAGATTGAATTATGATGATAATAGATAGAATGATCTTTAGTACATTATTTAAACGTAGTGTTGAAGCATTTTAAGTTACGTACTTATCGCCTTATGAAGAAGAATGTACTGGAATGTAATAATGATAAAGTTTCTTTTCTTTTTTAGGACCCAGAAAGGATATAGACGGGCCTAATGAGAAACAAACTAAACCGAAAAAGAGACTTTTCGAAAGATCGGTTAACCAGAATCCACAACGACAAAACGCTGTTCTTATCTTAAGACATTCTACGGCATTCCCATTCAAAACTAGATTTAATAGGATAGTGTGCTCTTATTGCCATGATGAATTCGAACCAATGTCTGCACTCAGAGCTCATATAAAGGCGGAACATTCCAATGCTGATTATAATAGCGCTTTCTACAAAGTAACAGATGATTTGAAAATTGACATCACAGAGTTGAAATGTAAAATGTGCTCGACCGATATACCGAATGTTGATTCGTTAATGACCCATTTATCGCGAGATCATGATATCGCAGTTAATTTTGATGTACCCTTTGGAGTGCTACCGTACAGACAAGGCACAACTGGACATTGGATGTGTTTAGAATGTGACAAAACATTCCCCGAATTCTCTCAAATCAACGGACACTTGAGGAGTCACGTGAAAATATTCACTTGTGAGAAATGTGGTGCGACCTTTTTGTCTGAACACGGACTGAGACAACATGAGCGGAAGTTCAAGTGTTACAAAACCTCTTATAAACCTCGTTTCGGTAAAGCTTTAAAGCATCGCAGCAACACGGAAATCATTCTTCAGTGTTCAACAGCTTGTCCGTTTAGGACTTGGGGTCAGAACTTCAACTGCGTTTTCTGTCGAGTCCAATCCAACGATCCGAATGGCTTACGTACTCATATGGCTGCACATCACGCTAACTTCGATGTCCAATTAGTATTCAACAGGAAACTAAGGAAAGAATTTCTCAAAGTTGATATTACGGATCTCAGATGCAAACTATGTTTCATGTCCATAGACAGTCTCGATGACCTGATAACTCATTTGAAAAACGACCATAAGCAACCCATAAACGCGGACGTTCAGCCGGGTGTCTTGCCCTTTATACTCAGCGATGGATCTTGTTGGAAGTGTGCGATATGTAAAATCCAATTCACCGACTTTATATCTTTGAAAAAACATACAGCGGAGCACTATCAAAATTATGTATGTGACACTTGTGGCGAAGGATTCATCACGGAGACTGCATTGATCGCGCACACGCGTATTCCGCACGGTAACAAATATAATTGCAGTCGTTGTGTTGCCACTTTTTCATCTTTAGAAGAGAGGAATATCCATATTAAAACTCAGCACACGACTCTTCCTTACATGTGTGTTTACTGTAAAGAGAAACCAAGATTCGCGACATGGGAATTAAGGAAGCGACATCTAATGGAGTTTCATAATTATAAGCCCGGTGCAGAGATGTACGAATGCACCACGTGCCATATGACTTTCAAAACACGATCTCAAAAATATCATCATAACGTTAAGGCGCACAGAACTAAGAAAGATACGGAGTATTGCTACCCTTGTGGGAGTTGTTCTAGAGCTTTCGCTTCCAAACTATCTTTGGACAAGCACATAGCAAAGAAGCATTTCCACGTTTGATACTTTAACTAAGTAAAAATATTTGAATACCTAGTTTAGCTCAGTAGGTTTAGATCTAGAGGATTAATGATAATCTCATGAAAAATTGTGATATAAGTTTTTTTGCGTTTATATTTTAGTAATATATATTTTCATTACGTGGTCGCTATAGTCTATTCAGAATATTTAGGTTCTGGAAGCATTTAGCGCTTGGAAACATATTTTAGCTAGTCTTTATAAAGAAGCAGAATTGCTTAAATTATATATTATATTGAGTATTACAAAAATTGTAATCTTTACAATAAATTATTTCAAGGTTTTGTCAAATAACGTACAATGGAACGTTTTTGTTTTGAAATAGATCAAATTCTAACGCGCTTTTTCTTTTCACCTGTTGTTTGAACCTTAGAGAGACTACCAAAGAGATCGCTATTTGATAAAATAAAAATAAAATAATGGAGGATTATGATGCAATTAAATTATAATTTTCTCCTATGAATAACTTTATAGATTAGAAACGTACACAATGATTACGATGCCATCCCTAAAAGTATAATGAGAGTTCAAAGTGTGACATAAAGATTTAATGGAAACATATGTTACCCTCTGATGTCAACAGGGGCGTATCCAGACCTTAAAAAAGGTTGTTGTAACAGCTACCTGAAAATAGGCCAATTGCGAGTTGGAGTAAAACCTCCTGCCCAAAATAGCGATTTCCTGCAGACTCTTGAATGCAATCTCAATCTCAATTTCAGTCCAATGCAATAACGATTTCAATATTCATCAAATCTTAGCTCATACTATTGAAAGACTCGATTTTAATTAGTTCATTTTATAACCGCGCAATAATGAGCTAATTGGCGCTAGAATAGCAAATCAAGAGTACCAAACGTTACAATTGAACGTGGATCGATCGCGATTGCGTTCCAAAGTAAGCATGCTGGAGATGCTTACCAAAATGTATGACGCCACGCCGTGATCAACATTTGTATAGTTCCTAAATTCCTTACCTCAGTAGACAGAAAATGTGACGTCACAACTATATTAGGTTTGTGGGCGTGCCCGTATCCTTTGGATGTCAATTGACAATAGTAAATAACTTCCACGTCTAGTGCGTGCGAGATATCTGTGCATCGCTACATGTGCATGAGAGTATTCCAATACTAATGTCTCTTATATGTCTCTTATTTTATATAATCCAACTACCTCCAATTTAAACGGAGTTTTTGATTGCAATGGAGGGTGTGAACAGCAACATAATGCCATTTCAATCTGCAGTTGTTATCTAAGGATATCTTTGTATTTTTGTCAGACCATATAAAATTGAGACCTTAATATTGCTTCTGATTATCGGAACGTCTGAATTTATGAAATTGTATGTATTAATATGATCTGTAGTTTTGATATAGATGATAATTTAAAGACATTTATTTTTGTTTGAACAGAAACGTAATGAAAAAGACCTGACCATTTTTTCTGATAATCCCTGTATTTATGAAATTGGGAAATTTTGTATTAATATATCATCGACAAATACAAATACTTAACATATTATCCTACGTTGTCTAATTTATTCACTGGAAATACATATGTATTAGATAAAAAATTTTGCGTTTTAATTCAATGAATTCTTCCTGATATACTTAAATTTATTTCACTATCCTAAGACGTTATGTTTATTATTGCAAGGATGGTAACTGAAGTACCATAAATATACGGTAAAATACTATCCTGAGAAAATCTGACTGGAACTTTTTATTTTTAGGAAGACGCGGACAAATTAACGTACCCACTGATAGTAAAGTAGAAGAAGCTGAATGCTTACAAAATGAACTAGACGCTAAAACAACTGAGAAACGGCGCTACCAGAGAAGCGCAAGGGCAGAAGCTATATTTATCACTAAGAAGAACGCTAGTGTCATATTGGAATGCTGGTCCCTTTGCCCCTTCAGATGGAAACGTAACAGATTCCAGTGTTCTTATTGCGAAGCCAACTTTACTGAATGCAATTTGCTAAGAGAACACGTCAGAGGGTGTGCCAGTAGTCATAGTGTTAAAGATATCTATAACAAGTTCAAAGAGATGAATCTCATTAATGTTGATATAACCGATGCCCGCTGCAACTTGTGTTCGGTGTCTTTCGTTGACGTGACCCACATGAGAGACCATGTTGTCCAGCACGGTTTTACATTCGATCATAATCATCCAGACGGTGTATTACCATTCGCTCTGAACAAAGAATCTTGGAAGTGTATAATATGTTACGAGAAATTTAATAACTTCTTAAAACTTTATGAACACATGAATATACATTACCAACATTACATTTGTGCTACCTGTGGCAAAGGTTATATGACTGCTCCACGATTAAGGAAGCATTCAGAAGTTCACATATCGGGATCTTTTCCTTGTAACGAGTGTGGACGTATATTTACTATGCGTGCTGCCAGAGATTATCACAAAGCTCATGCGCATGCTAAAGGACCTCGGTATGGATGTCCACATTGCAATTTACGATTTGAAGGTTATTACGAAAGAATGGCACATTTAAACGAAGCCCATCGGGAAAAAGAGGTCTTATACAGCTGCGCGCATTGCGAATTGAGCTTTAAGACGAGTGGAAAGCGTGCCATGCACGTGCGGTCTGTCCATTTTCCACCTCAGAGGGACTTCTGTTGTCCATATTGCGAATGGCAATTTAAAACTGGTTATGAATTGAAGAGACATATGATAAGGCATACAGGAGAGAGGAATTTTCATTGTAATATCTGTGGGAAAACATTTCCTAGAAATAGGGCGTTAACCACTCATCTAAAGACACACGAAGAATTCAGCTGCAAATGGTGTACAGCCGTATTCAAACAACGACCTCAATTGCTAGCTCATTTACGTGCAAATCATCCTCATTTGGATGATAGTATTGATCAGACTGTTAACGGAAAGGTTTAGTTGAACGTTTGTCAGCAAATCAGTATTATTTTAAAATAAAGGGAGTTTTTATACATTATTATTTCATTTTGTCTGTGAACCTGTATTGGACGATTTAAAGGCACAATTGTAGCTTACTAGTATCCGGTCGCCACACTCGTACTATTTTATTTCAGTGGAAAAAAGAGTCTATCAGCTCTCTCACGTTTAATTCCATAGTAGTCAGTAGATTGATTTTAAAATTTCGCACATGTTAAAATTTTTATTAAAGCATATCCATTCCGGAGTTTAGTATATACGTTTAGTATGACTTGCTACGGACAACCACAGCGAAGCGTAGCAGAATTTAGCTAGTAGGTTCGTTAAAGGCACTATGTTTAATCTGGGATACGGATTATGGCCTTTTTCTGACACCATAATAGCCTTATGGATGCATTTAGGATATAAATCAATTAAAACAACAAATGTTCGTTTAATATTTGCGATCTCGTTGCTTCTATAACGCAACCTTGTTTTCTTTTTTAGGTTCAGTAACTGCAGTCACAGAGGCTAATGTAGCCATCATTCGAAGGTCTAGGAAGTTGAAAGAAATCGTTAGCGAACGTCAAATGCGCCGACGTCGACGTGCCAACAATCAGTTACCTCTGAGGATAACGAAACGTCTCGATGTGTATATGATGCGTCGGAATGCCTTAACCATTCTCGAGTATTCGACCGCTTGGGCTTTCAGATGCTTTCAAGGCACCTTCTATTGTTCTTACTGCGATGCTAAATGCACTGACGTTGATCCCTTACGCGAACACGTCTTCAAACTTCATTTAAATGATACACCTACTGAAAGGGTATTCGCAAAATTGACAGAAAATAATATGTTGAAAATCGATGTCACGCATCTTAATTGTAGATTTTGTCAAAACGTAGAATTGGAAAGTATAGAGAAGCTCAAACAACATATGCTTAGTTGTCACGGAAAGGCATTGCATGATGGCTATAGCGATGGAGTGATGCCTTTTAAACTAGCAGTTAATGAATTCGCGTGTCAAATATGTTCTGCTGTGTATGCAAAGTTCTTACAGATTGACCGTCATATGAACACACATTACCAGAATTATGTTTGTGATGAATGCGGAAAAACATTTGCGACTATTCCTCGTTTGAGGAAACACGTACAAAGCCATGAGGTGGGGCAGTTTCCATGCCTCGAATGCGATGAAATCTTGATAACAAGAGCCCAGCGGTTGAGTCACAAATTGAAAGTACACAAGAAGGGCATACGATACGCGTGTCCCAAATGTTCAGATTTATTCACCACCTATTATGACAGGGCTAAGCATTTGGTTGAGACACATGGCCACAAAAAGATTCAATATAACTGCACAGCATGCGATAGAGTATTCGAAACTAGTTCCAAACGAGCGCTTCATTACCGTTTCTCGCATACCCATGTTGAAAAAAGATATAATTGCACCAGCTGTACGGCTTCTTTTGTAACTAGATCGAAACTTCAGAGGCATATTCTTGTTCATAAGAGAAAAGTCGAAATAATGTCGAACTGATATTGAAATATTCACTCTAACGGTGATCGGTGCGAGAATTTTAATGCATATGCATTTTCATACATCATTTTGCTATATAATTTTACATTATTATGATTCTCATTAGTGTTGGTAGCGTATAGAATTATGGTTAAAAGAAACAAATGCAACAAGTTTATCAATGATTATATGACAATAATAAACACTATGCGTGCTTTTTAGTCCGCTTTATATAACATTGCCATTAAGATGAAAATACAGTTACGTATATTATTTTATTTTTTGTAGGACTAGAAGAGGTCCAATCACAGTCCGAAAAATGTCGACCGACGCTAACAATCAAATGGAAAAGGCGACGTTACCTAACGGAAGACAAAGTTAATGCTGCTTTAATACTGGAGCATTCTAATGCAGTGATCTTTAGGTCACAACGTGGGAAATTGATGTGTGCATATTGCCAAACATATTGTCATAATGGAAATGAGTTGAGAGCCCATTCAGTGACACATAATAAAATGGAAATTTTTGAAAATAATAATTTAAGAGCAACATTTCCTTTAAGGATCGATGTCACGAACCTAACCTGTACAATTTGTAACGAAGCTATAAACAACAATTGTATTGAAGGTTTAAAGCGGCATCTAAATGTGGTTCATTCTAAGATATTCAATACAGAGTACAAGGATGGGGTTATACCGTTTTTGCTAACTGAGAATATTTACAAATGCGTATTATGCGGATTGAAATTTGAGCGATCCCAATCCTTATTTGCACATATGAATAAACACTATCAAAGTTTTGTTTGCCACACTTGTGGGAAGGCGTTCGCATTGAGGCACACGTATCGCTCACATCAAGCTTGTCACGATATTGGACATTTCTCTTGCAACAAGTGTGATTCCACATTTGACAATCGTGCCATCAAAAATCGACACGTGGCTGCTGTTCATGGGCGCAAAGATAAATACCGGTGTCCACTTTGTAATGATCATTTTGATTCATACTATGCAAGATTGAGACATTTGGATAAAGTCCACGGACAGAAAGTTGAATACCGATGTAATTTTTGCCCTTCTGTATTTGGCACGGGTGCATTAAGATACTCCCACATGAAATCTGTGCACAAAACTAAAATATATAGAAAAATGTCGCAACAGAGTTGTTAACGCATATAATGATGACGAAATATTTAATTTTTTTGTTATCGTCAATAAAGTTTGAAAAGCCGATAAATAATTTAGTTTTATTTGAATTATTACACTAACAATGCTTCATATTCAGAAGTAAGCGTTATATTAATACGTGACAAGAAAAAACCATTGGTATCTGTAATCTTATAATACTACACATAATTTGAAAGTTGTTTTTCTTTTTTAGGATCCGACTACAATCTTAAATGGAAACCCAGACGCAAGTATAACGATCACAGAGACAATGCTGCAATTATTATAGAGTGTTCCAACGCTTGTCCGTTTAGATGGAAGCGTGGTTCTTTCATCTGCGGCTACTGTCAACAATCATTCGGCGATCTGTCGGCTGTGAGAGTTCACTGTATAGAACATCCGACCAGAATTGAAGCTATGCGTTTCTCAAAGCCTGTAGATAACATTAAAATAGATATCACTGGACTCAGATGTGAGCTGTGTTTAGAGAATATGGTAGATCTCAACACCTTAAAAGAGCATCTATTGAAAGTCCATAATAAACCTATAGAACATAATGTCGGTTTAGGTGTAACGCCATTTCTTACTGAAAACAATGATTTTATATGTACTCACTGTAATGAACGATTTGAACTTTTCTCCAAAGTGAATACGCACATGAATAAACATTACCCGAATAACATCTGTTACGAATGCGGTAAATCATTTTCTGCACCCGGAAGATTAAAATCACATTTGGCCATACACGAGTCTTTTACAAAAGGACAGCAGAAGTGTACAAAATGTGACAAAGTTTTCGCTACGAGGGTCCAAAAGAATGGGCACATTGCTTCAGTCCATGGACCTGAGTTTCGATACCGATGCCCTTATTGCAAAGATATTTTCAGAAAATATGCTGACAGAGCGAAGCATCTAAAAGATGCTCACGACAAGAAAGTGGAGTATCCGTGCCATTTATGTCCTGCTGTTTTCGCTATGTGCAATCAGAGAACTAAACACATTCAACAGGTTCATATTAAGCTCAAAAATTTCTTTTGTCTTTTATGTCCCTCTCAGTTTGGCACTGCGGCTCAGTTAAGGAATCACGTTGTCAAACACACTGGAGAGAGAAATTTCCACTGCGAAGTTTGCAAGAAATCTTACCCACGACATAAAACTCTCAAGGAACACATGCGTATCCATAATAATGACAAAAGATTTATTTGTGAATATTGTAATCATGCGTTTGTGCAGAAGTGCAGTTTAAAAAGTCATCTAAGAGCGCACCATCCTAACGCTGCTGAACCACTTAAAACAGGAGGATGAGAAAGCATAAGTCGGATTTTTTCAAAATAATTGTTTACGAAAAAGAAATTACCCTTCTATAAAAATTCGTAATACCTATATATACTATTCTATATTGTATAAAAAAATGTAGGTACAACCATCATCAACACTTAATAGTAAGAAGAAGATAATGATGACAACTGTATGAAATTAATAGCATCGATTAAACTGCGTGACATAACATAAATTCGAAAATGCAATAAAGTATCTATTTTTATATAAAAATGAACTAAAAATGTTAACAACCTTTGACAAGTTAATATTTATGGCTACCTAACGAACAAAAAGTCAATACTAACATTTTATCGAGTGACCTTAGGGTCACATATAATGTATGGATTTCTCATTGCAAATAATATTAATATTTTCTTAAGAGCAACATTACGATTAGGGCTTAATATCACAGATCTAATGTTTAAAATTCCGAAGCTGTAATTAAAATTATAGCTACCTCTAAACATAGGGAGGAGCATTAGCTTGTACCGTATTTGCAAACCGAGAAAAGTTATAAAATATTTATTTCGTCATTAAAGATTAAAACGTGATTTAAAGTAGTTTTATTTAAAGACTGGGAACATGTTTACTCGAAAATAACTTTCCCCCGTCTTCGAAATTCATCCATTCGAAATTTGAAATTTATTTTTCTTTTTTTTAGGATCGGACAACAATCCTAAATGGAAGCCCCAGTGGAAGTGTAACAATGATCAAAGAGTTAATGCTGCGATTATTTTAGATTGTTCGAACGCTTGTCCATTTAAATGGAAGCGTGGCATTTTCACGTGCAGTATTTGCGATCTTACGTTCGTAGATCTGCCGTCTCTCAGAGATCACATCGTAGTACACCCAAATAAAATTGAAGCACTGCGTTTCACAAAATCTTCAAATACCATTAAAGTAGATATCACTGGACTCAGATGTGAGTTATGTTTACAAACCATGATAGACCTTAACACCCTCAAGGACCATCTATTGAAAGTCCATGACAAACCTATTGCACCAGATATAGCTTTAGGAGTAATGCCATTTATTGTTGATGGCGATGAATTCATATGTCCTCATTGTAACGAAAGATTTCAAATGTTCTTTAAAGCGACTTCGCATGTAAATAAACATTATCCGAATAATATCTGCTTTGAATGCGGTAAAGCATTTTGTTCATTGGAAAGACTGAGGGCACATTTATTAACACACGAGTCTCTTACGAAAGTGCAGCCCAAGTGTACAAAATGTGATAAACTTTTTGCTACAAAGGTCAAATTGAATGCTCACGTGGCTAGAGCTCATCGATCTGAGAATAAACATAAGTGTCCTGTTTGCAAAGACACTTTCAAAAATTATCCTGACAGACTAAAGCATTTGAAAAAAGCTCACGATAAGAAAGTGGAGTTTCCGTGCCATTTATGTCCTGCTGTATTCGCTATGTACAATCAGAGAACTAAACACATAGCGAAAGTTCATCTGATGATTAGAAAATTCTCTTGCTCTGTTTGTGATATGAGGTTTGGTACTGCAGACCAAGTGAGAAGGCACATGGTGAAACATACGGGAGAGAAAAAATATCAATGTGAAGTATGCAAGAAGTCTTACGGTCGGCACTTTACTCTTACAGAACATATGCGAATCCATAATAATGACAGGAGATTTGTTTGTGACTATTGTAAACGTGCATTTGTGCAGAAATGCAGTTTGAAGAGTCACTTGAAAACTCATCATTCCAACGCGAATCCACATAAAAAAGTAGAGTAACTAAACATAGCTAGAAAAAATGTAGATACTAATGAACCTGACTAAAATAATTTTGGTTTAAGAAGTTCATTTTTATACTAGTATTACTATCATATTCTACAGCTTTTGGAAGAGATGATTGTTAAGTTTATGTAGTTTTACAATAAGAAATACTGGTGTGTCCAGATCATATATCGGATGTTTTTCTATTTTTAGGAAGAAAATCTCCATTAGTAAACGAAGTCACGCAATGCGCCTTGCAGTCTGGCTCGGAGATAAATGCAACGGCTTTATTAACATCAGCTCGCGATATTGGTGACGAGAAACGATCTACGTTCAGAAAGAACATCACCATCATAATAGAGTCTTGCACAGCTTTTCCTTTCAAGTATCGTAAAGGGACATATCTGTGTTTCTATTGTAAAAGCACTTTTCTAGAACCTGAAAAACTTAGGGAACACAATAAAATAGAGCATTCCAACGTACAAATAACAGTGAAACCGAGGAAATATGAACCGTTAAAGATGGACTTTACCAAAATCGCCTGCAAACTGTGCAGTGTCGATATACTCGATTACTCATCATTGAAACTACATTTGAAAACTGAGCATAATAAAATCATTGATTGCACTTACGGTGAATGCGTGCTGCCATACAAATTGAGCAAAGACGAATATTGTTGCCAGATCTGTGGGAAGAGGTACGAAATGTTCCTCAGTCTCCATAAGCACATGAACGACCACTATGGTCATTACATTTGTGAGAATTGTGGTAAGAATTTTGTGACATTGCAAAGGATGGTAAATCATGCTAGGACTCATGAGCGTGGCTGTTTTCCTTGTAGACAATGTAAGGAGACCTTCCCGTCCTATGCCGCGATGTACGCTCACGTAGCTAAAGTGCATCGCTCAAATAAAAGATACAAATGTCCTGTTTGCGATGAGAAGTTCGCTTCGTATAAGCACAGAGTGAAGCATTTAAATACAGTTCATGGTGAAAAGACTGCGGTCTTCCCATGTCCATTATGCCCTAAAGTTTTCGATCTGTGCAGCCGAAGAACTTCTCATATTAAGTTCCAGCATCTCCAAGAGCGAAATCACGTGTGCCATGAGTGCGGAATGAAGTTCTTCTCGAATTATGAACTTCAGGAACATTCTATAAAACACAACGGTGAAAGGATTTATCAATGTGACGTTTGCAAGAAAGCGTACGCTAGGCTAAAGACTCTGAGGGAACACATGAGGATACATAACGATGACAGAAGATTTGTGTGCTTTGTGTGTGGACAGTCGTTTATTCAAAATTGCAGCTTAAAACAACACATTAGGGTGCACCATCCGACTCACATCAAAAATGATATTAGAATTTAAGTTAGCACGGTTAGGGGTTTACAAACAAGTAAATAAATATTTATATGAGAAGCGCTATATTTATTATTCATATACCTAGTGCAACTCTTTTCTTCTGCTTGAAGCAAATGTTCCATCAAATTTTGCTTAATCACATTATCGAAAACTTCAACTAGCTAATGAAACTAATGGTTTGTCAACTAAACTGCACCTGGCTTTTATTTGTTGAATATGACAATTACGCAATCTCGAATTACCAAGCCAAGTGCCAGCATGACAGACATCAGTTTGTCACACCTTTTAAATGTTCCCCAGGGCTTTCATTTAGGCCAATTATTAATATTATACCATTATACAATATTAATATATTTATATATAATTGCCCATTATAGCCCATTATATATATATATATATATATATATATATATATATATATATATATATATATATATTATTGTAGAATTCCGAAACAACTAAGGTACCTGGTAAACACATACTCTGATTTTTAATGAGATGTACTGAATTGATTTTTGGTGGGTTGTCACTTAATCGCTAAAATAAAATATTGTGATTCATTGCCATTATTATTTTATGCGATATATCATGATTCAGTTGATTAATTTAAAACATTAGAAAACCGCAAATGACACGCAGAATGAGGTATTTAAAATATTTAAGTATACCTTACTTCTAAGGGGCTGTAAGTATTTTCATTATAAAGTTAAACAAAATCACCTTATGAAGATATTAAAAATTACTTTGAAGGTCTAATGAATAAAAACACATAGAGTTATGTCACAGAACGATTAATTAATCATTAAAAGCTATTATCTAGGTGGGCGAAACAAATCGTATATATGTAGATATTGAAACGTATATTGTATCAATAGCGTAACATCCGATATCGTAAACACAAACTATATATTTTCTGAAACGCTATTGTTGCATCAATACTTTATGTCGGATTCGGTACCTCGTACGATAATCGATATTTATAGATATAGGATATCAAACCGTATTGCATCGTAATAGAATTGAACCAATGCAGGCGTTTGGATTTGCAAGTAAGTGAAATAGCAATATTCAAATATTCTTAGGATTCAAAGAAACAAATTAATGGTAACATATCATAAATTACAGTTCTTAAAGAATCACAACACTGTTACTGGGCATGAAAGAACCGATTAATCGGTTAGATTAGGACAAAAAGCGAGCGTGCCGCAACAGAGATCGGTGATCGCCATATAAAACTCAGTTTTGATAATATCTTCAATCCTCCCATCGGGTCTCCGATTGGTAGGAGATGCGGGAATTTTTTTTTCTCATACATCCGATTGAATGGGTTTTGTTTTTATTGTTTACTTAACGGAAAGTGTCAATGCCGTTATACTGTATTTTTACAGATTGTCCGCGTCAAAATCGTGACGATTCCGCTATACCATGTACAGTAAATACTTCGGACGCACTAAAAGTTTCTGTAGTCGATTTTCAAAAATACCATTGTTGGTCAAAAATGATTTAATTATTTCCCAAAATTATATGAAGTATGGGAAAAATATTTTCGCTCCTAAGATTATAATGAAAGATGTTATGCTTAAATATTATTTTGATTTGAGAAATAATGCTTACGAAAATTAGCACCAATGGTGTTATTACGTTAAAACATTTAAACTGGTTAAGTCGTGTCTTTATGTAAAAACATGGGGGACCTTTTGAAGCTCTACATGTGTGAAGACTTACGAACTATAAGAGCACGTAGATTCTTATACGAATAGAATGAAGAGGAGATAAGAGAGAACACTTCTTTGCTGTTCGAGTTTATTATTATTAGATTTTTACAATTCAAAAAGATATGTACCTACTATCATATACCACCATTTTCACTAATTAGGACGACCGCGACGGATGCAGATTACTCAACAAAAAGGTAATAATTCGAAATGTGTCTCGATTTAGAGTTAAAACCCAAGAAACTATTTTAAACAGGATGCTTTCCCCGAATGCCAACACTGCCAAGAAAGCTTGTTAATACAGAATTAACATTAAAATATGATCAACTGATCATACAAACACTATAACACTGTGATTCAGAACATGATGTAAACAAATAAGAATTGTAGAACTTATGACATTAAATAATAGTGTTTTTCAGCATTATACACTGTATATGAAGTTCTTGTTAATGTATCTGTGAGTAAAGGGAATCAAATTAATCTTGCCTGCTATGTGTGGCGGTATAATTAAATATAATTTACTCTAATTATAACGAGATCAAGATGTTTCAAAAAGATTTTTCTTTCCTTTTAGGTAACGCGACGTTGGACCCTTGTATGCCAATACGGCCCATCCAAACCACTGCTCCTAGTAATGACTTTAAAACACCGAATCGTCCAATCAAAATCACTAGTGTCAGGGAATCTCCATCGAGTATTCTTAAGGATATGACCAAAAAACAGTTGGGCAGAGAGAGTGCTATTGCAATCATAGTCAATACCAACGTTTGCCCATTTAGATTTAATAGAAGATTTTTCAGTTGCATCTATTGTAAAATCGAAACTCTCACTATGCTTGAATTGATTAATCACACAAGCAATGAGCATTACAATGTCGATCCATACGGCGTTCGGAGTGCCATCAAAAGTTTGGGAAAGATCCAACCGGTAAAACTGAACATAATCGATTATGTTTGCAGACTCTGCAATCAGGAACTGGCGAATTTCGAGGATCTAAAAAATCATCTTGTCGGAAAACACAAGAAGTTTATAAACTTGGAGAACGACGGTGTTATTCCTTACAACATCACAGAGAACAGTTTCACGTGTGGCAGGTGCAATGAGAAATTTGACGAGTACCGTCAACTGAACAAACATATGGATGAGCACGTCAGTAAATTCATATGCGACCAATGTGGAAACGGATATCCAACTGAAGGCCGTCTCAAAATGCACACTTATTCCCATAAAGAAGGTTCATTCCCGTGTGACGTATGTGGCAAAGTTTACCGCAGCAAACTGGGTAAACGGCACCATTACCAGACAGTGCATTTAAACGTGAAAAAGAACAAATGCACATTATGCCCAGCAACTTTTAGGGATTACTATCAGAAGCAAAGGCATTTAGTGGCTGCGCACGGATTGCAAAGGCCTGTTTACACTTGTGGCTTCTGTCCTAAAACTTTCCTTACTACTTCTCATGTGAGAGCTCATGAGCGCTTAGCTCATACGGAGGCGGCCCATAAGTATTCGTGTGATCATTGCAGCTACCATTGTAACAATAAAAACGCTTTGGCTATGCATATGATCTCTCACAGCGACGAAAAGAACTATAAATGCCAGGTGTGCAACAAGAGTTACGCTAGGAAGAAAACTTTAACGGAACATATGAAGATACATAATAATGATAGGAGATTTGCATGCCAGTATTGCGATAAGGCGTTTATTCAGAAATGTAGTCTCAAAGGTCATATGAAGACTCATCATAGGGATGTGCAAAATTTTGATTATTAATTAAGAACCAAAGGTTTTTTGCATTAACCATTACGAATCCTTTTTTATTTTATCCTGAGAGCTGTCTCTTAAGATCAACATTCGATGTATTATCAATTGGTTAGGTACAACACAGTTTGTCTAGTACTTATATATAGAAATATTTGCAAAAACATCAAGAGAATGACAGACTTATTTTCGTTTTCAATGATACATCTGAATTAATTTAGATCTCATATTTCTCTTTATAAATCATCTAGCTGTTTTAACGCGATTTTATCCTCGTAAATATATAGCCTTTGCCGCCGCGTATTATGTTGTTCCCGTAGGTGAAAGAATTTCATGTTCGGATCAGTATTTCCGAAGATTAATAAATACTACGGACTTAAAACGATAAGCGTATAAAAAAAAGACAAATGGGGTTAGTAATTTAAAAAATATATATATTAGAACTACATACGCTACGCAAAACAAAGATACAATCGCGAATCTGTCAATAGACAAAAAAATAAAAAGTAAATCACTAAAAAGATTGCAAACTTACCTCTTTATAATATTAGTATAGATTGATATGCTATTTTGTCGAAAGCTTCATACCCTTGGCATTAGTCAAAGACGATTTATTCTTACTTATAGTTCAGCAATAAAGTAAAAAATACTTCTTACTAATGTTTTATCTTCTTGTTTTTTGAGTACCACTAACACTGAATTGTATAATTTCACTAGTCTATTAAGTGTTTTGTGACCCTTCTAACTTAGTAATTTTAGTAATATTTCCCATAGTATGCTCGCTTTTTTTAGAGTTACGGTATAGATTTGTATTTGCTTTGACGTACTTATGGAGTTCCTGTAAATTGTTTCGTGAGCTAAATAAACATAAAAAACAAATTCACCTCTTTCTCATTTGTCTGTCAAGTCTGATTGTTGTCCGCTCCATTTTGTCGTGGTATATGACAAAGCACGCATACACAGTAAAAAATGTTGCTACACATGTTGTAAGTAAAGAGTTTGTAGGAATGCGTAGATTAAGAATTATCTAGTTAAATCTTTCAATGAAGTTTATGAAGATCATGATATCAATTTGATTTCTATAGTATTTGAGCAAAATAATTGGTACTTTAGAATGATTCGCAGCAATTAAACAGCCCAAAGATATAAATAATTTTATATTGAAGTTGAATTGAGCAGATCTTTGAAGATATCTACTTAGTTCTTCATTATGAGTAACGTCGTTGAATAAAAAATAAATGCTGCGTAAATATTTGTGCTGTATTCTTGTTACTGTATCTGTGAACATATCGGAATCAAATTCATCTCCGTCGCCGTACTCGAGTAGCGTTATAATTTTATCAGGCTAATTATAACGAAATCAAGTTGTTTCAAATAGATTTTTCTTTCCTTTTAGGTAGCGCGACGGTGCACCCTTGTATGCCAATACGGCCCATCCGAATCACTGCACCCTGTGATGACTCTAGAACACGGATTCGTCCAATCAAAATCATTGGTGTCCGGGAATCCCCATCGAATATTATTAACGATTTGAACAAAAGACAATTGGGTAGAGAGAGTGCTATTGCGATCATAGTCAATGCCAACGTTTACCCGTTTAGGTTCAATAGATTTTTCATGTGCCTCTATTGTAAACACCAGACCCTCACTATAGTTGAACTGATGCAGCACACAATCAATGAGCATTACAATGTTGATCAATACAAAGTCCGGAATGCGATCAAAAGCATAGGGAAGATACAACCGATAAAAGTGAACATTATCGATTATGTTTGCAAACTCTGCAATCAGGAACTGTCGAATTTTGAGGATCTAAAAAATCATCTTGTGGGGAAACACAAGATGTTTATTAATTTAGAGAACGACGGCGTAGTGCCTTATAAGATCACAGAGAATAGTTTCATATGTGGGCGGTGTAACGAGAAATGTGAGTCTTACCGTCAACTGAACAGACATATGAACCAGCACTACAGGAATTTCATTTGTGACCAATGTGGAAGCGGATTCCCATCTGAAGGTCGTCTCAAAATTCACTCTGTTTCGCATGAGAACGGTTCGTTTCCATGCGAAATTTGCGACAAAGTTTACCGCACTATCCATGCTAAACAGGACCATATCAAGATAGTGCATTTGCACGCGAAAAAGAACAGATGCACTTTATGTCCAGAAACTTTTAGGGATTACTATCAGAAGCAAAAGCATCTAGTGGAAGTGCACGGATTGCAAAGGAACGTTTACAAATGCGGCTTCTGTCCTAAAACGTTCCTGACTAGTTCTAATGTGAGAGCCCACGAGCGCTTAGCCCACGTAAAGATGCACAAGTACTCGTGTGATCATTGCAGCTATCACTGTTACGATAAATACGCCTTGACTATGCATATGATTTGTCACAGCGACGAAAAGAACTATAAATGTCAGGTGTGCAAAAAGAGTTACGCTAGAAAGAAAACTTTAACTGAGCATATGAGGATACACAATAATGACAGGAGATTCGCGTGCCAGTATTGCGATAGGGCATTTGTTCAGAAATGCAGTCTCAAAGGTCATATGAAAACTCATCACAGGGATGTGCAAAGTTTTGTGTGTTAAAGAAATTTTGGAAAAATAATAGCTAATAGTGGACGGTTCCATTTGTCTGACTACAATAAACATATTTACCTTTTGAATCTAATAGGTTGTTGAATCTAATAGGGATTGCTTAGTGTTCTGATCTGTATTCTAAGAAGCTAACCTTTTGAGGACCAGTATGTGATTTTTTATGAGTTGTCGGTATGTCTCCTATAGCTGATATTGTGTAGACCAATATAAAGACGTCACGTTTATATATAATGAAGATTAATTTGTTTATATTCATTATATTTTTTACTAACTAAATAATTAGTTTAAATAAAATATTCTTCTCCTGAAATACTGTTGGGTTTCTTTTATTAATTAATATTTCTATCTTCAATATAATGTGGTTTTATAACTTAGCGTATTTAAAAAGTTTATTTTAAAAAGATATGAGAAAGTAGTTGTTTCATATAAAAATAAGAAAATATCTTGCATTTTACTCATCCGTGATATTTTTAAAAATAATTTTGTTTTTGTGTTGATTATAGATTAAATGATAAGGTGCATGACGTAAAGATGTGATGAGGTTGTTTACGCACGTTATTTTCTTATTTTTAGGTGAAGACTCTAACCCGATCAAGAGTAATGGGGAAGTAGAACAAAGTCATGAAAAGAAATCCACAAATATACAACTCACTAGGGAGCAAATGATGACTAACGATGAACTGAGAGCTAGAAAAACAAACGCGCAAACACTGTTGGAGAATACCAAAATTTGTCCATTTAAGTGGATGAAAAATCTATTCATGTGCTTCTTCTGCGAACAGCGATTTGCAGACCCAGCCAAACTAAGAGATCATCACACAACCGAACATATGTCTCTGACGACTGAGCAAATAAAAAAAGCGGTGTTCGGACTCAAAAAATATGAATTGGTCAAAGTTGATATAACTGACGTCAGTTGTAAATATTGCGATGATGTTATCCCGGATCTTACTTCTCTAAAATACCATTTGCTGTTCAAACATAATAAGAGCGTCGATCCCAAATCCAGTGATGGTATACTTCCTTTTAAACTTACAAGTCACGATTTAACGTGCACTATATGTGATAGTACTTATGCGGAATACAAGACATTGAATCATCACATGAACACACACTTCAAGAATTTCGTATGCGAAAAGTGTGGCGCAGGTTTCGTTACGCCTAACAGATTGAGGACCCACGCAGTCGTCCACGAGACTGGTTCCTTCCCGTGCGACGCCTGTGATAAAATTTTCAAATCTTCAACCTCAAAGAGCGAACATTACGCCACCGTTCATAAGAAAGTGAAGAGGCACAGATGCCCGCACTGCAATGAATCTTTTCATAACTATTTCCAGAGGAATAAGCATATATCCAACGTACACGGTTTGAATTTACAAGAATTCAAATGTACGATGTGTCCTAAAGTTTTTATAGTGAGAGCAAATTTAAGTGTTCATATACAGACGGTTCATTTAAAAGTCAAAAGGTTTTCTTGTAATGTTTGCGAATGGAGATGTTACTTGAAATCTGAATTAAAGGATCACATGCTGAGGCACGGCGGTGAGAAGAAATTTCACTGTAGCATATGCAATAAAGGATATGCGAGGAAGTATACGCTAACGGAGCATATGCGGACACATGGACCGATAGAAATTTGTGTCCCACCTGCGGAAAATCTTCCTGCAAAAGGGCACTCGGAAGGATCACAATAAGATTCATCTCGCAGCACTCGTAGGGTCTTTGAAAGTATTTGACGTGCTTTATGATTCTAGATCTTGTTTTTTATATATTCTACTCGCCTATCACTGTACACTTTCTGTCTATGTCATAACTGATTTCGATGCCGTTTTTCACTAATGGATAAGAAGTTCTTTGTAAAAAATTTTGCAGTCGTGGAATGTCAGGTCGGATCATTAGTTGAATACGATATGAAACAATTTAGAGATTTATTTTTTCCGTTACCGTTATTTTTATATATGCGAATATAAACCAAAAAAATGGATGGATTTAAGAAAATAGGAATTAAAAAAAAATACATAATAATGATATTTAGAAGAGGAAAATTTATAATTATATATATTATTAACAGATGTAAAATTTTATTATGATAGGAATATATAATATTTAAGAATTAAATGTAATAACTAAGAACGATGTTTAAAAAAAAAAAACATGATAAATACCTCTGTCATATAAAAATAAGAAAATATGCTGCATTTAGACTTCTCTAAGACATGTTTAATAATAATTTTGTTTTGTGTTGATTAGATGAATTAGATTTTATATAGAGTATATGCATGTAAGATGTGTGATGAGGTTAGATGTTTACGCACGTTATTTTCTTATTTTTAGGTGACGACTCTAACACGACCGAGAGTAATAGGGAAGTAGAACAGAATCATAATCAGAAAACAACAAAAATGAAACTCAATAGTAAGCAAACGATGACACTGAACGACGAATTGAAAGCTAGGAAGAAAAATGCCCAAACACTGTTGGAGAACTCCAAACTTTGTCCTTTTAAATGGTTGAAAAATCTATACATGTGTTTCTACTGCGAACAGCAATTTCCAGACCCGGCCATTCTTAGAGATCATCACAGAACCGAACATAGATCTCAAACGTCTGAGCAAATAAAAGAGGCAGTGTTCAGGCTAAAAAAATATGAATTGGTCAAAGTTGATATAACCGACGTCAGCTGTAAACTTTGCGATGATGTTATCCCTGATTTTGCGTCTCTGAAAAACCATTTGCTAATCAAACACAAAAAGGGCATCGATCCCAAATCCAATGATGGCATGCTTCCTTTTAAACTTACTAGTAACTTATTCAAGTGCACTATATGTGATATAACTTATGCGGAGTATAAGACTTTGAACCATCACATGAACATACATTTCCAGAATTTCATATGCGAACAGTGTGGTGCCGGTTTCGTTACGCCTGACAGATTGAGGACTCACGCGTTCTCGCACGAGACTGGTTCATTCCCGTGTAACGGATGCGATAAAATCTTCAAATCCGCAAACGCTAAGAACGAACATTTCGCCACCGTCCATATGAAAGTGAAGAGGCACAGATGCCCGCATTGCCCTGAAACATTTCGGAACTATTTTCAGAGGAATAAGCACATATCGAACGTTCACGGGGTGAAATTAAAAGAATTCAAATGTACGTTGTGTCCGAAAGTTTTTATATCGAGCGGGAAGTTGGGAGTTCACATACGAACGGTCCATTTAAAATTGAAACGGTATTCTTGTGATGTTTGCGAATGGAGGTTTTATTCGAAATCTGAATTGAAGGATCATATGGTGAGACACGGCGGGGAGAGGAAACATCAATGTAATATATGCAAGAAAGGATATGCGAGGAAATACACGCTGACCGAGCATATGCGAATACATGAGAACGATAGAAGATTTGTATGTCCAACCTGCGGAAAATCTTTCATACAGAACAGTACTCTGAAGCATCACATTAAAATTCATCATCCACCACCAGTAGGGCCTTTGAAAATATCTGACGTGCTTTACGATTCTACGAATTCTTGATACACTCGATTTGCCCATCACTGTATGGTATGAATTAGAGTTGCACTCTGCCTTTGTCACCCTGTGGGTGTTCTAATTTAAAATGATACAATTAATATTTGTAATTGTTGATGATAATCAGTTTTAATATAGAAATGTATCGTTGATTTCTAGTAAAATAAACTGGAAATTTAAATAAATTATCTAAAGAAGAAAAATTTATTTATTTATTTAAGGTACACCAACAGCGATTCATGTAAATACATTTTTTTACATACGGAAATAATTGTACAGAACCTACATGATAGCCAAAAACTAGTGTACCCAACATTTAGAATTAGGTTAAGCTAATTGAAAATACAAAATACTGTCATATAAATTAAAAGAGGAACAAAAAATTACAATAAAACATTAAAATTAACACATGTCATACACAGATTAATGTCCAGTATGCTTCAGCACTTCACCCTTAAAAACTGTAAAGCTATCATTAAATATCGGGTACAATATTTGATATCTTGTTATAAAATGAGCGTAATCTAGAAACTGGCCGATGCAAACTCAAATTGGTTCTACTTCTACATGAAAAATTTTAGAGTTACGTTGACGTGGATATTTGTGTGGCACGCTGAGAGAAATTTGCTTGAGTCGGTGATTGCAGTGTGTTCTGCCATTAACCATATTATATAGAAACAATAAGTCCGACAATGAGCGACGATTGCGCAACTAGTTCATTTTGCAGAAATCAAGTCTCAAATTGAGGATGACGATGAGTAATTCCAGTTGTAACGAAAGCCAGATGTCACGTAAAAGCATACAGCAATGATTCAAGTCGCTGAGACTGCTTGCTGGATATACTGGATTCCAAACGACACTAGCATATCAATAGTTATATAAAGTAAGGTCCTGATTCTACATTGCCTGAAACCACCAGAGTTGCGCTTAATAAATCCAAGAAGTTGGGCTGCTTTCGCTACAGTACTATCGACCTGTGTAGTAAAGTTGAGTTTATTGTCCAGTATAATGCCCAAGTCTTATCTCATTAACCTTAGACAGGGGCCAGCTATTTATATGGTAACATGTAGCTATGGCATTGACGTTTTAGTAAAGCTGATGTGGTAGCATTTACTTCCATTAAAATTCATGTCGTTATTTTCACACATGAGCAAATACTAAAAAGATCACGAAGAAGGAGATCTGAGTCTGATGAATTACGTATATATATATTTATAATTTTTTCGAATTGAAAAATTATTGTTATAAAGTCATTTTAATTTGGTTCAGTTGCATGGAACTTATGTCATGTATTATAATTAATATTATATCTTATAAAAAATTATAATTTCATTCTTATACCTAATTCCCACTGCAATATAAATATGTAAAACTTGTGTTTGTCAGTATCGCAAGTTTCCAGATATATTTATTAACCATTAAATATATTTAATGAATATCTACTATTAGGTAATATATTATTAGGTAGGTAATTATAACTTTCTCATTAAATCTCACTAGATTATTTAATAAGAAATCTGCAGTAGCTAATATTGGGAAAGGGTATTTTTATTCTAGAATCATCAATTCTTTATCTAATCTTTCATCGGCTGCGTCGCAACTTGCAATATACAGTTCAGTTTATTTCTTTTCTAGGGTCCGACAAGACAATAATAACGACGGAAATTACGGAGCCGAAACGGGTCGTCCCTCTCTTTCAAGTTGAATACGACCGCAGCCTCTGTAGGCCTCTCGGGACAGTCACCGACTTCAGTAAAATTGTAGATCGCAAGCATCGATCCAGAATAAGAGTCGCAACAAATCTAATGCCAACTTATACGCCTTCGAGGAGCCCCTCCCCTATAACTATGGCGCCTAAGTCTCCATCACCTTTCGCAGGAAAGCCAACACCAATGAAGGTCCGTCAGCCACCAAAGCCAAAAAGTCTTGACGTCAGACAAAACGCTTTGACCATCTTTGAATTCTCAACAGTGTATCCTTTCATTTACGGGAATAATAAATTTAAATGCTTCATCTGCTCTCAGCCGTTTCTAGAAATATCCCTACTTAGTTTGCATATGCAAGAATCTCATACGTTTGCACCATTAAAAAGGTTGGTGAACAACAGAAGAGAAAACATACTAAAAGTGGACGTTAGTGATTTAACATGCAAAATATGTTACGTAAAGCAGAATAGTTTGACCGATATGAAATCTCATCTCAAGTTGGAGCACCAGAAACCAATAGACCCCGAAATGAAAGATAACATTATTCCGTTCAAGTTGCAAGCGTCTGATAATGGGTATAAATGTGTGATATGCGACCAGAACTTCATCAAAGTACGAATACTCGTTATACATATGAGCGTCCACTTCAATAATTATAGTTGTGAAATTTGCGGTTCCGGTTTTATGACGTTAAGACTGTTGAAGAAGCATTTGGAAGTGCATGAAAGTGGTAACTTCCCTTGCGAACGTTGCAACAAATCTTTTAGTACATCGTATAAAAGAAATCTTCATATAAGAGGTGTGCATATGAAGCAGTATCCTCGGCGGTGTCCGATGTGCCCGGAAAGATTTAACTCTAACTACAAAAGGACGATACATCTCCAGGATGTGCACAATCAGTCGACGAGGGTGCATAAATGTGAGACTTGTGGAAGGGCATTCAATCTGAAGTACCATTTGATATGCCACACGCGGTCAGTGCATTTACAAGAGAGGAATCAACAGTGCGACATATGTCATCAGAGGTTCTGTAATAAGGAAACATTGAAAAGACACATGGTAGTTCACACAGGTGAAAAGAATTATAAGTGTGAAGTGTGTGGCATGGCCTTCTTGAGGAGAAAGAATTTGAAGGATCATCTTCGATTGCACGAGATAGGCTGACTGATAGCGGGCCTGAGTTCAAAGAAATTGACTATGACAATGGATCTGTTTGTCGACGTTATAATTAAATTTCATTTAATATATCTTCTACAATTATTCTAATGGTTCAGAATAAAAGCTTGGATCTTTAGTGGATATTTCTGATAAAAATTTAATTATGTCCTTAATTTTATCCTAATTTGTACCCTTTTTTACATTAAATATATATATTTAAATAAGACGAAATAAAATTATACCTACCATATAAAATACAATTATTGCACAGCCCATTCTATCTTATTATTTTTGTTATCTATAAACAATAAATTCTCTCTGTAGAGAAGTGCGTCAGAGAAAAGTGTCCAGATTAATAGTGACAAAAAATATCATCATTAAATTAAGATTTTTAAATTCTTTAAGAGGATTAAGGAACAACGTAATCGGCAGCTAGGTTCTCATATTCCGATAAGCCAACTACACCAAATAGAAACTTAAATTAAATGATGATTTATAAAGATCTTTTTACCGTTATCAGACTGGACAAATATGAAATTTCAAAAGAAGAATAAACTCTGTAATGTTGTAGGTACCTATTACCTTACCTTTATTCTTTGACTGAAATATTACTAAAGAAATTAATGAACTTACTGAGTAGTTATTATTATAAATATTATTAGGTAGAAAATTAACTCGCTAGAATTATTATAATGTAAGGGCAATGTTATTTTTTTTCTTTTAGAAATCCCTCAACCAAGTGATTCATCGATCAATATTAAAGACGAAGATGACCACGAGATTGCTTTGACAGTGTTCAAGAACCCGATACCTCTTGATGATCTCAAACAGCAAATCGAGGAGACAAAAACATTAAAGAAACAAAGGAAGAAACTCAAATTTCAACCTAAAAACCAGACGACTAAAGTCAAATTCCAAAAGGAACCTATATCCCCCGAGGATGTGAAAGATTCTGAAACGAAAAATGTAACTTTCAATGCTCAAACATTAAAAACTAGGAGAGCTAATCTTAGAATGGCATGGAAACTAAATGCACTAAACATATTTGCAAATTCATATGTGTACCCATTTATACATTCCGGTAACAAATATAAATGTTTCATATGCTCAAAGTTATTTCTAGACGCGAACTCATTAAGAGATCATAATTCATTGCATACGACCAAAGAATTAAAACAAGAAATGAACAATAGAGTCAGAGATACCAATATCAAAGTAGACGTCAGTAATATGCAATGTAAGTTATGTCAAATTTGTTTACCAGATTTCAAAGCTTTGAAGTCACATCTGAAGGAACACGGCATTAACGTCGAATTAGATATACAAGATAATTTGATACCTTTCAAACTGGGGCAGGATGCATTTGAATGCCAAATTTGCAGCGAAAAATATTTAAAATTAAGATTACTCATAATCCATATGAGTAATCATTTTAATAATTACAGCTGTGAATTATGTGGTTCAGTTTTCATATCCTATAATTTGCTCAAGAGACATTTACAAACGCACGAAATGGGCAGCTTTCCATGCGAGAAGTGCGATAAAGTCTTCAATAACTCCTCTAAAAGAACTTTGCATATGCGGGGGGTACATCTAAAACGACTGCCTAGAAGATGCCCGATTTGCCCGGAAAAATTTAATTCGAACTACCAAAGGACCAAACATTTGAGAATAGTCCATAACCAAACCACTGGACTATATAAATGTGAGATTTGTGGGAAAGAATATGACCTGAAGTATCACCTATTGCTGCACATGAGGTCTGTACATTTGCAAGAAAGGAACCAGGAGTGTCCTATTTGCCCATCTCGGTTCTTTTCGAAGTATTGCTTATCTCGACATATGGTTATACACACAGGCGAGAAGAATTTTAAGTGCAATTTATGTGGGAAAGCGTACGCTAGAAGAAAAAACTTAAAGGAACATTTAAAGTCGCATGATCTTGGAAGCGAGTGTACGGTCTGCGGACAAAAATTTAACGATGAGTCTTCGCTTGTGGCACATGTAACTGAAATTCATAAAGAGAGAACATAACATGGATTTATTTATTAGTGAAGTGTAGCACAGAGATTCCCAAATTATTTTAGTCAGGAGACCCAAATTACTTTAAAATATCCCATTTCAATCCCATTCTTTTTTTACTGCTGATACATGTTACCTATTTATCAAAAAACTTTGCGATTAGTTAAGTGAGTAAGCTTGAACTTGATACAAGGCAAATAAGAATACGTATTCGTTCCCCAAGGGGAATGCCTAGCACTAGCATATAAAAAGAGCCTTTGATGAAGTCTATTAATTTATGTATTATACTAGCTATTTCCCTTGAATTCGTCCGCGTAAATTATAGCCAATAGCACCCGCGAATGATGTTACTTCCCGTAGGAAAAAAATTCATGATTGGGTCAGTATTTCTAAAGATTACCCTGCAAACAAACAAACACAGTTAGAAATAGTTATATTTATAGACGATTTTATATACTATTCGTACGATTAACATGACACCTAAGGCCTGTTCTGTTTCTTCGGAAACGAATTTCCTCTGTTTTTGAAATGGTATTACTTCGATAATTTATAATGCAACGGAGCGGAGGTAGGACCTGACACTGGCTCTGATGCACAAATAATATCCGCAAGGACATGATTTTAACAAAATTATAAGATCGATTCGGAATTTATCGAATTTGCGTTCGAGTACATATAGAAGAGGTCCTCAGGTGTCATGTTAATTCGTACGAGTTATGCCTTATACCACATGTTCATAATTTACTGATGTAACGTTAAGCCAAGTAATAATGTTTATACTCGTAATTTCTTGGTCGTCTTACTAATGACGTCATTTAGTTCATTCGTGGACAACTTAGCGCACGGCGAGTAGATTAGGCTATAAGATCACCAATCTGTGCTATTATTGCCGAAGTCATTATAATAAAGTAAGCATATGTGCGTCAGGCTTTATATGTAGTAATCTTAATAAGTACCTATGAATAGAGAAAAATATATCACTAAATTTTAAACTTTTTTTTTATTATTCATATAATTTAGATATTATAGCTTACAAAATAATACAATGAAGATGGAGTGGCCTTCTATTCACTTTCTATCCTTTGACAATTATGGTTCATTCGAGATTTAAAAAAAATGTTTATTTGAATGATTTGAACTCGACAGCATGTATTGAAAATTAATTGACTTGACATAAAAATAAATCACGTATATTTCCTATGTATAGTATTTAAATTTAAATAGTATGTATTAATTATATTTTTTCTTATGAATTAGATACTCTATGTAAATTATTGCAAATAAAATTCTACTTTTAAATTAACGTCCTTTTAATACTTACAACACTTACGTCTTACACAACATAACAAGAAATAGGTTCGTATTATTCCGCTACGCAAGTGAATTATGCTGAATCAAGAACTAAGAGATTTAAGGCAAATTTTATTTTCCCAGGACTACCATCAAGGCGACCAGGGCCAAGGACCAGCGTATGGCAAATGACGATATCAGAGAGGCAAAATGCTGCAACGTTTCTAGAATTCACATCAGTGAAACCATTCTTTTATCAACAGGCCAATTTCAAATGTTTCTATTGCAATGAAGTGTTCCCCGAAATTCATTCTGTTTTACAACATACTGCTTTTCATGTGACTCCAGAGAGATGCAATTTGCTCAAACAATACCTGAGAAAAGGAAAGAGAGTCATCAAAGTCGATATATCGGGATTAAAATGTAAAATATGTGACCAGAAATATTCAGATTTAGATGATATCAGGAAACACTTAGTGTGCGCACATAAAAAGGAATTTAATTCAGCCGGCAATGGCCTTATGGCTTACGATTTAAGTATAAATAACGGTCTGTTGTCTTGCCATAAATGTAATAAAACTTTCAATTCGTTCTTCCTGTTGAACAGGCACATGAATGTTCATTTCAATGTAGTATGCGAGACGTGTGGTCTAGGTTTTATCTCCCATCAAAGGTTAATTAATCATAGGATAGTTCACCAAAATGGTGTGCATAAATGCGAAAAATGCCAAGAGGTTTTTCCTACAAAATTGAAACTTCGATACCATATCTTTAAGAAGCATGAGGCAACCAATGCAAAGAAGGTCAAACCATTAAAGTGTCCTCATTGCTTGGAGCGCTTTGCGGAACATTACAGGAAGATGACACATTTGAAAGAAGCCCATGGTATAACGTTTACTTTTGAATGTCAAGCGTGCAAAGCTATTTTCCCAACTAGGAGGGCATTGACGGAGCATACGACGAAATTACACACGCAAAAGATCCAATGCAAAGTCTGCGGGAAGTGTTTCGGGACGAAATCTTTGCTGAAAATGCACATGAGAGGCCATACAGGGGAGAGGAATTTCTTCTGTGACATTTGTCAAAAAGCATATATGCACGAAAGGACTTTGCGACAACATATGCGTATCCATGGACCAATGTGGAAGTTCACTTGTTCGGAATGTGGAAACGGTTTTCATAATCGTAACGACTATAATAAACACATGAAACAGTGGCATCCACAGTGGCAATTTAAGACTATCGTTAAGAATTTTGGAACTGAACTGATGGGTTGAATTTAACATAAGAAAAAAGTCAATTAAGTCTTATGATGAAGTGAAAAATAGGTATTATCCTATTATTAAACGAAACATATAAAAAATATGCATATCTGACAGTTTGATTAACTATTATTTACAAACTTGACGTAGAAGTGTGATGCTTAAAACGCTTTGCAATCAAAATATACTTACGAAAATGAAGATATTAATAAAAACGAATATTTTGTCTCCCCAGGAACAAAGGAAGAAGTGACGAAACGCAGGCCGGCAACGTTAAGCAGCATTTGGGAAATGACTCTATCCGAGAGGCAAAACGCAGCTATAATCTTAGAGAACACAACCGCTAAACCATTCGTGTACTGTAGATACTTTTTCAAGTGTTTCTTTTGCCACGAACAGTTTTCAGAAATCCAAACTGTTTTAAGACATAGTGCTGTTCACGATATACCAGATCATAGCAATATATTGAAAGATTTATTACCCAAAGGAAAAAGGACGGTCAAGGTGGACATATCTGAACTGAAATGTAGAATTTGCAAGAAGGACTTTCGAGAAATGAATGATATACGTGAACATCTTATTACGGAACACAATAAAACATTCACGAAATCAGGGAACGGTATTGTCGCTTACAATCTTACTGTCAAAAATGGACAGTTCTCGTGTCATATTTGCGACAAGATTTTCCAGACATTCATTCTTCTAAATAGGCATATGAACGTACATTTTAATAATGCTGTATGCGAGACTTGCGGTGCTGGTTTCATGACGCATCAACGACTGATTCAGCACAAGGAAATCCACCTGCCCGGAGGTTATCCTTGCAATAAATGCGACAAAGTGTACACAACCAATTCCAATCTTAAATATCATATGGAGAAAGTTCACGAAGGCGCAACGAAGATGAGGATGCTGCGTTGCGCACACTGTCCCGAGCGATTTTCAGAGCATTTCAGGAAGCTGAAACATTTGAAAGAAGTCCATGGTATTACTTTCACATTCGAGTGTGAGATATGTAAATCTGTTTTTCCAAGCCGCAGGGCGTTAACGATGCACACGAATAAGTTCCACACACAAAAGACTCAGTGTGAACTTTGCAAGAAGAGTTTTAGTTGTGTTACAACTTTGAAGAAACATATGGTCTCTCATACTGGAGAGAAGAATTTTGTGTGTAGCTTGTGCCAGAAAGCTTATAGACACCAGAAAAGCTTGAAACAACACATGACTAGTCACGTGAATGGCGGAAATTACAATAAGTTTACCTGTTCTGAATGTGGAAATGGCTTTTTGAACAGAAACGAGTTTAATAAGCATGTAAAAGATTGGCATTCGCGATGTTACTTTGCTTTTGATGAGAATCCACCAAATTGACGCACATTCCTGATTGAATGCATAAAGAAATCTAGTGGTGATTAACGTTATTAATCCACTGAGATGAAAAATTAATGGCAATGATTGCCATAGCAATAATATTGGTGTAATTATTGTCGCACTGATTATTCAGATATAGTGTCGAGTAGTTATTGATCTCATAATTATATTATCCATTTAGGTTAGATAAACAATAATCTTACAACCAATGCCAGTATTAATAATATATTGCTATATTTTTTAAAGTTTTGTTTTATTGTATTCCCTAAGTACCAGATTCTAAAGAGTTTCCTTTTTTGAATTAGGTAAGTAAAACTCTTATTGAATACTAGTGGCCGCCAGCGACTTCGTCCGCGTTTTCCATTATTTGTTCGCTCCTAATAGTTGCAACGTGATGTTATATAGTCATCGCCTTCCTCGATAAATGGTCTATTCAACACAAAAATAATTTTTCAATTCGAACCAGTAGTTCCTGAGATTAGCGCGTTTAAACAAACAAACAAACTCTTCAGCTTTATAACATTAGTATAGATAAATCTTGATTATATATCTAAGGAATAAAAAAAAAAGGATTTGCATTAATTGTAGGGTTTGTTTGACTGGTAGGAATGTCATAAATTTAAAGAAATAAAAAATTGAGCACTGTAGGTCTTCCTTCATATTATTGTTTACACTGTTAACATATATGACTGTTTGATGCCAATATAAATTTTAAAAAATCCAAGATCGAGCGTTGTGGTGTATAACCGTGAGTGTTCTTCTTGGCCACACGGTGGGCGCCAAAATAGTTTGATTGAATGGATAAAAAATGTACTTAGGCTTGCTATCGTGGACGAAATAATGACAATCAAGTTTACTAATAACGCACACTTGTTATGCATATAATTTAACGATGTTTACAATTCCTCTCAATCACTGCAATTTTCTCCCACAGGCTTAAAATCATCAAAAACGAGTATATGGCAACTAACAATGCTAGAAAGGCGTAACGCTGTTGCATTCATACATTATACGACAGTCAGACCTTTCATCTTTATGGGCTCGACTTTCAAATGTTTCTATTGCATGGATTATTATTCCGAACTCAAATCATTGTTAACGCACACGATGACACACAAACTTGACACAAAAGAAGAAATCTTAGAGAAACATGTACCAAAAGGGAAGAGGACATTGCAAGTAGACATATCAGAACTAAATTGTAAATTATGCGGCCAGAAATATCCCACTTTAGAACCTATTAGAACGCACTTGGAAAAAGAGCATGGAAAAGTATTCTATCCTGCAGGTAACGGAATGACTGAATATAACATGGAGGTTAAGAATGATATGATGTGTTGCCATGTTTGCGGTAAAGAATACCATACCTTCCAGCTCCTCAATGCTCACATGAACAGCCATATCGTCAAAGTAGTTTGCGAGAGTTGCGGTGCTGGTTTCTTGAACCAACATATGCTAATGAAGCATAAAGAAAGCCATTTGACTAAAAGATTTATATGCAAACATTGCGATAAAGTGTATTATAAAAAAAGTCAGTTGAAATACCACACAGAAATAGTTCACAAAGGAAAAGAACGAGTCAAACCGAAGACATGCCCCCATTGCACGCTAACCTTCAAAGAGTATTATAGCAAAATGGTCCATTTAAGGGAAGTACATGGCGTTACGAAAACTTTTCAGTGCCATTTATGCAAATCCTCCTTTGTCACTAGAAGAGCACTCACTGAGCACTCGAATAGGTATCACACGGAGAAATATAAATGTGACGTGTGCTCTAAATGCTTCGCGATAGAGTCCAGATTGAAGCAGCATATGCGAGGGCATACTGGAGAGAGAAACTTTGTCTGTCCTGTGTGCAAGAATGCGTACATGCACAAGATGACATTGAGTAAACATATGAGAACGCATGGTACAGAATTCAAATTGGTTTGCTCTGAATGTGGTGTGGGTTTCCATGGTAAGAATGAATACAGTAGACATATGAAACAATGGCATGGCAGCTTTAAAGGAACAGACAATATTGTGAAATGAAGTTGTTTCCAGAAACGAGTAGTCGCACAAAAAAGGTATTTTTTAAAATGTTTTGTTGATATTTTAAGCTTGTGATTTAGTAGTGGTTCTTAAACCTTTACAGCACTTGATCAAATTTCAGCAATAGATTTTGACCGCTACCCTCAATGTATTAGGGTTTAAGATCGAGTGGGGAAATTTGACAGTTTTGTATAGTCTGACGTGCTGTTGACTGTTCATAAGGTAGTGTACTGGTCTTCACAAAATAAGAGATCCCTTTTGACAAATGTCATGGGACCGTAAATAGTAATGCTAACAAACTAACAGCCAGTTGCACAAACGTCCATTAAAATTTTCATTAGTTTAAAGCGTCATTACTCATACAAATTTGACATTCATAAGAGCTTAAAGGCGTCATTAAACCTTAATCGACGTTTGTGCAACTGACCGAAAGTCGATAACAGATTGCTATTTATTTGTTGATATAAAATGAAATATCGATTTGTTTGTGTGTCATGCGTGCATGATTTGCTTTGTTTTTTGTTTAATAAAATCGCTTTTAAGTTTTTACATAAGATTAACTCCAATAACAAGATTATTCGAAAAGATTGAAGCAAATACTTAAAAAATGTAATTTCTGAGCCCTGGGTATGCCCAAATACTGAAATTAAATGAAAATATCTTTATCCAAGTAGGCTATTACAAGCACTTTTGAATCGTCCAAAAAAAAATTTTTTCCCCTACCACTTGTTCAGGACGTCTTTTAGCTGACAAGAAGAACAAGCGAAAGAAACTTACCAGCTTTTTATCATAAGTAATGACATTTACAAATATTGCAATTTCATCTAAAACTAACAAGATTTCCAGTATTCATGTAAACAAACATAAAAATATGCAAAACATTTTAAAGAATACTGTTGCGGAATATTATGGTTTATAGTTTCAGCTCAGATTTATAATCGTTTTGATTTTTATATTAGAATCAAAATTGAAGTAATTTTATTTTAGTATAAAACCGCGATCATTACACTTTCTTATTTTATTTATTCGATAACAACAATTTACCTCAACAATAGGGCAAACAATGACTAAAGTCGATATTAATTTTGTTTTTCATTCGTTAAAATAAGATTTTCTCAATGTCCAAATAAGTATTTTTGCATTGTACGGTAAATAACTTGAACTTAAATTTGAAATACCAAATTTTTATACACGAAACATATTGAAGGCATTAATATTAATTATGTAATGTACCCGATTTGAATTTAAAACGAATAATGTATGAGAAAATGCACGATTAACTTGGTCGCGATTATTTTACAATTTTTTTTTATCGAAAATTTAACTATTTTTGGAACGTTACGTAATAAATATTTTTTTTTATAAATTGCTTAATAATTATACTTAAATAATGTTTCGTACTGCTAAGCAACACATTTGTTTTAAAAATATGCTATATTTTTTTATTAATTCGCTTCATAATAATTTATTTCCCATTATGTCGATTACGTACAATGTTACGTTCTTGAAGTGTCAAAAAGGACCTCTTATTTTGTGAATACAATGAGCAAAAAATCAACAGCGTTGTAAAAATTAATATAATTAGGTTTTTTTTGTTACTTTTACTAATTCTAACTATTCAGTATAAAAAAAAACGCTCTCTTATTATAAAACGATGGTTAAAGTTATCGATAAAGGTTAAAGTTAAGATGGTTAAAGTTAGTACTGTTGGTTTAAATTAAACCATTGGCCGCAATAGGCCAGACAGAAAACGTCAAATTCAGTTTTGACGTTTTGTGTCTGTCAGTTGTTTTCGACGGAATGATCCGATAACGGTTTAATTCCGCTATTTAAAGTTGGCACAAATAACACATCCTTCTGTAACCCGATCGTCAGAATGTGTCGCACATTCAACCATATATCCTCCAAGTGTGATTGTCTAGATATTTTCCATCTAAGCTTGCAAAAGTTGAAAAGAGTAGTACTGGAAAATATTACCTGTTTATAATTTTTATTTTTTAACCTTCTCGGTGAGACAGGTTACGATTCGATATAATGTAAATAATATAAAACATAATATAAATTAATACCTAGCTTTTTTCTGTCTGTGGATTTTATTTTATTTATTTATATCAATTTTAATTAATGAATTCTTTGGATTTGATTAGATTTTGATTTGTTGCTATTTATTATGATTATATTATTGTTTTATGTCTTTATTCACTCATTACTATAGATTATCCGTTTCTTGATTATTATATAAATAAAAGTTTAATTATGTGTATATAATATTAAGAATTATGGTCTTGTGTAATGTTTTATATATATTATTTTTTATTAAATATATGTCTGTAATTTGTTTTATGTGCTAATAAATAAATAATATTAAAGTTCAGGACTGGATCTGCCTTGGGGCGCCAAAAATCATCATAATATACGGTTAAAAAATGAACGAGCTTCGGTTTTTTTTAGTCATAATACCTATAATACGTGCCCGTACTGAACGGCCACTATCAAGTTTCTTCCCGCCATGGAAGAAATATATCCTGAACGGTTTAGCCTCTTTCTATAATAAGATGTAATAAGTTTATGTTATTGTTGAAAAATTAGCAACTTGTTAAAGTGCAAAATTGCATTACGGTAAGATCATTATTTATATTAAAATATATTTATTTCAGCATCGAGCCAACGGGCAGCAACAAGTATTTGGTCTATGACTTTGATGGAAAGGGAAAATGCTGCATTACTGCTTCCACTAACTACCATCAGACCGTTTACATACATGTCGTTTCCGTTACGATTTAAATGTTTTTATTGTGATGAAATTCATCCAGAACTGGCCACTCTTTTAGAACATACGAATAACCACACGGCTCCTGGCCGCACAGAGATGCTAAAGAGTTTACTGAAAAAAGGTAAAAAAACAATTAAAGTTGACATTTCCGAACTCAAATGTAAACTCTGTAACGCACCGTTTCTGAACGTAGATGAAGCGCGCTGCCATTTATCGACGGCACACGGAAAGAAATTTAATCCTTCTTCCGGTAACGGAATGATTGTTTACAATTTGAAAACCAAAGATGGCGCTTTTTCCTGCCACCTGTGCTCGCAGACTTTCACGAGTTTCTTTCTCCTGAACAAACATATCAATGTACATTTTAATAATGCGATATGTGAATTGTGCGGGAAAGGTTTCGTGTCGCACCAAAGGTTAATACAACATAAAGAGATACATTCGAGAGGGAAATTTCATTGTGACAAATGTAAGATCTCCTTCGAAAGCCCTTCGAAATTTAAATATCACAACGACAGGTGGCATAGACAACCGAAAAAAATTAACAATATTTACTACTGTCAACACTGTTCGGCGCGATTCGATCACCATTATGAAAAAACGCGGCACCTAAGTGAAAGACACGGTATAAACTTCGAATATCCTTGCGACACTTGCAGATCTGTATTCAAAAATAGGAAGACTTTGGCCAGTCATCAAATAAAATATCACATACAGAGAATAATTTGCGAAATTTGCAAAAAACCTTTTGCGCAACGTGGGCATTTGAAGAAACACATGGCTATGCATACTGACGAGAGGAATTTTCCATGTCCACTTTGTAATAAACGGTATAAGTATGAGAAAAATGTTAAGTCGCACATGCGACTGCATAATCCTGATTGGAATTTTGCGTGCGCTGATTGCTGTGTAGGATTTAGCAACAAATCTCAATTTAAGAAACATGTTAGAGATGTACATCAAGATCATGTTACTAATAAACAGTAAATTTGTATAAAATATTTGTTTTTATTGAAACTATAAAAACTATGTATATAACTTATTAATTGAGGAGTTAAATGGAGCAGTGGTAAGTGCGTTCGGTTTACGAAGGGCCGGCCCATCCATGTACGCTAATTAGGTAACTGTGTAAATAACAACATTTTCAGATTAGCTTTACCTCAAGAGTTTCTTGGTCATGGGTTTTATATTAGGGTTTTATAGAATAGCAAAAGTGTCTTTTTCGCAAGCTGCCAATGGTTCTAATAATGTAACTTCTCCGACTCGATTCCTATCCTGATAAATCTTAAAATGTTCTTTATTCCGTATTATCTCTAGTCTGTGTGTTGTAGATGATCTGGTTGTAATTAAGTCTTTTAACTCTCACTCCCAGTTGCACAAATGTTCATTAAAATTGTTATTAGTTTGAATTTAGAGCGGCTTTGCCTACACAAATTAAATTTAGAAAATTTATTCGAGCTTAGAGTCGGCATTATACTTTAATGGATGTTTGTGCAACTGTTCGTCAGTCTTATTTGTATACACGCAGGGCCGGCCGTCTATATATGTATACCTACTAGGCAATTGCCTAGGGTGATCGTTGTTAGGGGGTGACATGGCATGGCAAAAATAATATGTTATCTCCATTTTTGAACCTTAAAAATGCAGTCCTAAAAAAAAATACTTTAGTTCTTTGAACATGAGTCCATGTTCGCATTATTCCAAAGTAAAAAAAATCGGTGAAGATCCAGTGTTTTGCCCAGGGCGCCAAGTTTCCTTGAGCCGGCGCTGTGGACACAGCTACTTGACAGGTTACCACAATATGTCTAATTTCTGCAATGGGTTATGACCACTACCTTCAAATATTTAAAAACAACTGGAGAAATTAGACAGTTTTGTATAGTCTGACGTGCAATTGACTGTACTTATATTTTTCTGTTAATAAAAAAGAAGAAACAAAAACTGTTCCAATAGTTACTTAAAAAATAAACTTTATTTCTAAATATGAAACTAATAAATAAAATTAATTTCCTACAGGCTTGTCTCCCTTATTATTATTATTTTTGGTAATTTTAATATTCTTCTTTATATTAGTGTTGGCAGTGCCTCTTTTCATGTGGAGCTCCTGAGGTATCGGTATTTGTCCGATCATGTCCACTCCTGGTCCAGGTTTTAGTTTAAACCGGAAATCCTTTTTAGTGTGGATGGATTGCGATGGCAGTAGGCGGTTACAGCAGTTGTAGAAGTGGTAATCTCTGAAAAAAATAATTAACATGGCTTAATGGCGGCAGTCTTATAAAATGGCGTCAATCGATTGATATATAGCGGTTTGGATGTGGTCTTTTGTGTCTCGAAAGTGTAAGCGGTTTGACGTACGATATTTTTTACAGAACTTTAGTTTTAATTGTGCGAAATACTACAAATACATTTTAAAAATGGAAGGAAAGGCACCAAACATAACCATACAGATGTAGAATCCAAATTTGCCTTAAGAAAGTAATAAAAAACCTTATAATAAAGATTAAATTTCGAAAAGATGAATTAAATCCTGTCAATTTAATGAGAAAGTATTAAAAAAAACGAAAGCACTAAAAAGCACCACCACTAGATGGCGACTCTAGCAAAAGTTGATTTTTGCAGGAAACAAATGGACTAAAGACAGTCATTTCCGTTCCTTTTAACTAACATATTAAAAAACTGAAATTTGAAAGCTCGAAACTTAGATATCAATACAAATACGAAAAAGTACAAATAGAATATGAGTTTATTAATTGTGTTTTGATAACTAATTGATCTTTAAACATGAAAGAAAACCGGAAGGGTTGTCATGGAGAACGTACCGTAGCGACATCTAGTTTGATTTCGGGAACTAATTTTTTTTTAATATTCCTCATTAGTACTTTAAAAATAGTAAAATCATGGCATCTTTAAGTATCCATTTTAAATTGCGTGATGCTGGTGTGTTTGTTCCCTATCTGCATTTGATATTGACCTTAATCCGTATGCCTCTCTTTGGATGTGGAGGGGACCAGTGATATATACAAATACAATACAAATAAATATTTTACCTTATGTCGAGAAATTCAAATGGCGCAAAAACCCGATCTCCAAATTCCCTTTTGTACTTAATCCACTGACATTTCAGAAGTTCATTAGTCTTTAGAGAATAGTGTTTCTTGTATGTGTATTCGTTTAAACCCTTCTCGAATAGCGGCAAAGTATCGCAGTTGCGACCTATTTCTTCTGCTATCTCTGGAAAGGGAAATGTTTTAATTTTCAATTATGGAATCATCAGCATCCATTTATATATATCGCTGCTTGAGCACAGCCCTTTCCTAAGGCCGGGTCAATTTTGCAAATGTTTATGTAATAATAGCACCTAAACAGAATCTCAACAATTTGAATGTAACATTGTCTTAATTACAAATAAGTGCAATGCAAAAACTATACATTGTATATGTGTAATGACTTCCTTACACATCAATGGTAATAGTATAATAATATTGGACTTAAGGTAGTACTCGTAGTACAGACAAGTCACGTCAGGGTATAATTAATTAATAGTTTGAAGCTAGAGTTTATAATCAGTTTAAAGTTTAATTTTTTTTTAATGTATATATGCATATTTATGTATGTATATTTATATATGAGCTTGTGTGTATGTATGTATGTTTATATATGAAAACATGTTTTCTCGCCATCTAAGACACCATCTACTGCCCATCTACTTAAGTAATTGCTTTTTAGCGATAAGGCCGCCGATTGTACCACTTAATTGTATCGATTCTCCTTTTGTTTAATTATGGTGTACAATAAAGTATTCATTCTTTCATTCATTCATTCATAATCAACTGGAGAAATCTGACATATTGTGGCAACTTGACGTGCAGCCGTGTGTACAATGTGGAAGCATTTTAAAAAGAAAATATTAGTTCCCGAAATCAAACTAGATGTCGCTACGGTATGTTCTTGATTTCTCCATGACAACCTTTCCGGTTTTCTTTCAAGTTTAAAAGTAAATTAGTTTTCAAATCTCAATAAACAACTTATATTCTATTTGTACTTTTTCGTATTTGTATTGATATCTAATTTTCCAACTTTTCGAATTTCAGTTTTTTAATATGTTAGTTAAAAGGTACGGAAATTACTGTCTTTGGTCCATTCGTTTCCTGCAAAAATCAACTTTCGCTAGAGTCGCCATCTAGTGGAGGTGCTTTTTTAGTGCCTTCGTTTTTTTAAGTTCTTCCTCATTACAAAATGCAAATAGTTGAGATTCTATTGAGATGTAATTACTAAGTAAACCTAAGCAGAATTAGCCTGCAATGCGGTTTATGGGTGTTAAACATCGGCTTAACGTGCCTTCCAAAACATACGAGGATCAGCACATTTTTTAACTAGGTACCTATAGCATGGTTGCCGAAAAAGAGAATTTAATACCCACCATTACATATCCCTTTCATTCGTCCGTGCTCAAGTATATTTCTATTACGCTCGCACAGATGCATCTACCTAATTTTGTCATACTAAAGTGTACCTAAAATATTAACGATATCTTTCAGTGGGCACAAAGGTCAACGTACGTAATTCTTCCTGTTCGGCGACTATATGTATGCACAAATAAATTACCGGTAACCCGCAACAAACAATAGGGGTGTAGGCAACTTTTTTTAATATTTTTATTTTATAAATATATATGAAATATATCTAAAAAAAAGTATTTAAAAAAAGTATAATTCGTTTAATAACTTAAAATCTAAAAATAAATTTAGCTTTCGAGTTTTCCCGCGAATACGCCAAATTCTGACATGATCTCGTTATGACGTCACGGCCCTCTGAAACTAATATCGGTCTACTATGCATAGGGTTCAATATTCTGATATGTGTAAGAAGGGTGTGACGTCACGAACTGTTCGCGGTCATGTGGCAAGTATAAAATATTTGTTTTTTCGTAATTAATTTCGGCAATATTATAAATATAATAATAATATAATATAATAATTAGCATAAGCGTGATTATCGGTAATAATTACTGGAAAACAAATATTTAATATTTAAAAAAATATATTTTAGTTTACTGTCTACACCCTTATTCTCATACTAATGTTGTTCCATATTTTTTACGGATACGAGTGGAAATAAACGGAATGGATGGATGAAACGAAAAGCCTTTGTGCTAAACCTATGCAGATGCTCTGAATAGCATATAAATAGATGATATTGGTAGGAATGGGTAGTGCTAGTTAATTAACCTAAACTTCAAAGAAGTATAAGACAAGAAAGGGAGACTTCCTTTCGACTATATTTTATCCAGGACATCTGTCGTAAAATTCAAGACAAAGTTTATTGAAAAATTAACGTTTGTTTAGTTTTCCAAAGTGTAATTGAATAGATGGAAAAAACAGGCAACAGTAATGATGACTAAATTTGATTGTTTGTCCGTTAGGCAGAAAATTGAAGATGATTGAGCACGTTTTTTTGTGTCTTTATACATTTTCTAATTAGTTGTGACGTAACGAGCCCCCACTCCTCAACTTTGATGTCTATTTTCTAAGTCATTTCTTGTTCAATTGAAGCAAAAAAATACGTATCTAATATTTTCCTATTAACTGATCGAGGGACTAAATATAATTCCTTTTTTAGACAGGCATCAACCCTTTTAGCATAAGCACCTAAGAGCGTCTAGCGTGTTATTTCGAACCTTTATTTACTTTTATGTCGGGATATTGGCGTACTATTTTTTTACATGATAGATCTTCCTCATCTGCTTTCTTCTGTGCCGTAGACATAATTTATTTCACACCTTCCTTTTTCTATGTATTTGTCTTAATGTTGTTTTTCCCTATACTGTAATGTTGTAAATTTAAATAAGTTTTATTAATGTGGTGACAGTCGGTGGATATACATAAAAATGACACTGTTTTGTTTATTTATCTTGCTAGATTTGTTTATGGATTTACTTCTTTATACCCGAAATACCAGCAAAGAAGACAACAATTATTTTAGAAAAACTTTTCGGTAAGTTAACGGTAAGTTTTCGGTAAATATTCTAAGCTCTATAGCTATTTTCTAAAATAAAGTATAA